AAAGATAAAAGAATTAAAAACTAAAGTATAATCTAGATATCACCCTTTATATAAGCTATTATAACTATAAAGGATTAAAAGTAGTCAAGAGGTATATTCTTAATAATCTCAAGAAAGGATCTATTATTCTTAGCTTAATATTTAACATTTTATTAATCTTTATAGTAGAAAAGCTAGATTAAGATCTTTATTTCTATATAGATTTCAAAAGGTTGAATATAATAACTTACAAGGAAAGGACTATTACTCTCTTTCTTTAGTTAATCAAATTAAGATCTTTATAAACTTAATATATGGTAAGAATAGTAAAGATTATAATTATTATGTATATAAAGTACTCTAATAATTATAAGATATTAATATATAAGTAGTAGTATTATTATTAAAATTTAAGTTCTTAGTAGATAAGACTAATTTCTTGGGATTTATTATAAATATAGATAGTATTATGATAAATCTAAAAAAGATCTAAATTATTTAATTTTAATAGGTACTAAATATTATAAAAGAAGTATAATCTTTGTTTAAATTCTATAGCTTTTATTACTAGTTTATTTACAGTATTTTAATACTAGATATATATATTAAACAAAGTAAAGATATAGTATTAATCATTAATTTTGTACTTAAAGATCTAATCTCTATCTTTTAGAAGTTCCCCTAAATGAGCCTGGATAGAAAAGCTAATTTAGCTTCTTATAGGTATTATAGATATCCTAAGTAATAATAATACTCTTAGGATTAGCCTTATATAGCTTGGTCAGGATTTAATAGATTATATATCCTTAAAGAAGTACGTTCTTTACCTTATCTTTCTTATATATAACCTCGAGGGCTTACTAAATAGGGTAAGTTAATAGCGGCGAGAGTTTATAATTATACATAGAATTGCTTACTATTATATATTAAAGACTACTCTAGAGATCAAAACAAAGTACAATTATAAAGGGGTATCTAAGTATAAATAAGTATACTAATATTCCGCTATTTTGTTTAGAGGGGATTCTTAAGCTATTCTATAATCTTTCGACCTCGGTTATAGTAAAGGAAGATAGTTTTCTTAATACCCTTACCGTTATATGTAAACTTTAAACGTTATATTATAATAGTATAGCTATATAGATATACGAAGCAATTAATAGCTTCGGCCCCTTCCTTTAGTGTATAATATATCCGATCTATTCGGCGGAAGGGGGAATATAAAGCTTAGTATTAGCTCCGCGGGTAGAGACTTGGTAATTAGCGTAGTAAGTAGGGACTTAGGAATAATCTCTAGGTCGGAATCTATATCCGATTCTAGATATTCTAGGCATAAGGAGGCTATATAAATAGTTGAATTTGATAAATTTGACGAAGAAAAAAAGGGCGTAAAGACGGTAGATTAATATATATAAACTAGAATTGGAGTATCAATTTGTTTAATCCTCTCTATATAATTAACGTATTTCACCACCGAGCGGCCACTACCCCTAAGTAGCCACCCTACCCAAATTTATTAACCAAAACTCTATTAAATTAAATATACTAAAATCATCTATCTAGCCGGGTTTCTATTAAATCTATAACCGGTTTCTCTGCACCTACTATACCTTAGTATAGCCCGTATACGTGGTTCCAAAGCCCGTACTTTATATATACCGGTATCGGGGGAGGTATTTTATCTGCTTTTACTAGCTCAGTAATTAATTAAGAAGCTTCTTAAACTAAGAGGCCTTTTTCGGTGGGTATCTACCTCCACGATTTAGTATACTTTTACTTCTACTTCTCGTTAACGGCGCGTAATTCTTAGGCGAGTAAGATAGTATCTTATATTATAAGACGGAAGCCTTTTATAAGCTAGTTTAATATATAATCTAATAGGCTAGGCGGGCTTCGAGATCTTATACGACGTAAAGCTTCAATTAATTAATAAAGCCTATCGATATAGGTCTCTCTCCGTAAAAGGGGTTTTTAGGGTAAAATTCCGGCTTTCGTATGTTCGTAATTATACCGTTTCGACAAGCGGGGGAGATGAGAGGATGTCGTTTTATAGAGTTATATACCTATTTTTCGCCGACCGAAAGAACCGGGGTAGTTCTACGCCTTTAAAGCAGAAGATCCGCTATTTCTCGTACTATAGAGGGCCGGGGGGGGGCTGATCTACGATAATCTATAAAAAGGATCTATCTTTTAAGAGATTCTTCCTCAATCTTTGTCAATTTATATGAATTTACGCGTATATTACTTCTTTATATAATTAGATATTAATAGCTATTATTACCTTTTTTATTAATAACTAGTAACTAAATATATTAAAAGGTTCTACTTAGATCTAAACTATTTTGTAGCTTTTATACCAAATTAAAACTAAGTAATATACTCTTTAAAACTCTAATTGAATATTAGATCTAAAATTAGATATTAAGAGTTATAACTAATATATAATTAATAGTAAGATAATAGTTAAATCTATTCAATAGATTTCTTTAGCGATATAGTAATAATCTATATATCTTATTTTATCTATATTATTTAGCTTTATTTAAATTAATTTCTTAGTTATTTTAGGACTATTTTTTTAAATAAGATTATAAAAATAAATATTTAATGCTAAATATAGAAGATCTTATATATTATAAATAATATCTATTATCGTATTATATATATTTATATAATAAGATAATACTAAATAGCCTTTCTCCGATTTTAAAAAAAGATATTCTAACTTATTTTAATCTAAAATATAAGGACTTAATAAAATTCTATCCTTTTAATATTTTGTTATACAAAGAGATTATATAGTTTATTTTAGCCCTTTTATAAGAAGTATAATTATAAAAAAATTTTATTTAATAATTAAGAATAGTATTAAATTAACTATTTTCTATAAATTATTTAGCTATTTTTTAATTATAAAATAACGCTTTAAAGATAAAGAAAGTTATACTTCAACCTATAGAGCGGAGGACTAAATAAATACCTTTGGCCCCCGACGGAACTCCTATTTCCCTTTCTTCCCTATACTTAGAACTCTTACGTAAAATATACTCTGAATTAAAGACTTAGCTAGTAAGATAATTCCAAGTATTACTTAACTTTTAAGAAATAAGGGTTTAAATAATTAACTACGAGTATTATAAGTAGATTTAATTTTTTTATAGAATATATTTCTATTTTAAATAGCGGTTTTGTTTTAAAAAGTGATTAAAGAGTTCTAAGTATAGGGAAGAAAGGGAAATAGGAGTTCCGTCGGGGGCCAAAGGTATTTATTTAGTCCTCCGCTCTATAGGTTGCGTAGACAGAGAAGACAAACCCCTCCTTCTCGCTTCATACGTCCCAATCTAGTAAATTGTTGAATCAGTCAGAACCGGAAGAATTTCCAATCGTCACAGTACAAATGATATCTATAAATTCTGGTACCGTTATCATGGCGGTCCATCTATCTTCCGGTTTGTAAAGTCTTGGTATTTTCTACCCTTTATGCATGGTACTCGAGACTATGTACTATGTAGGATATGTGGACCAATCTATCTGATGCTATTTTCTTCAATGTGCATGCAATATCCAGACCTAGGTAGTAACTTGAAGAAACCGTCCCAATTGCTTGAGGCTTGTAGGTTTTAAGAGTTAGACTCCCGTGATTCCTTTGCTGACATGATCTCAAGAATCAGACGCGTATTCAACAACGCCCTTTTCGCTGCTTCGTCACCTGCAGCTGCTTTACTCAAACCCTGACCGGAACCCAGAAACCTCTTGTCCCATCCCCATCCAGTGAGATATAACGCGACAAAGAAAGTCTGTGTGCCACCCTTCTGCTGAATTGATGGACGGTCCTCGATGTATTCAAGCTTGACATTTTTGCCCATAATCTTCTTAGCAAGAGCCTCCTTGGATCGTAACTCCCCTTTCTGATGCCCCAAGTTTTTGAGAATCGGCACCCATAAGCCTGCTAGCCAATGCTTGACCACTTCATAGCCGTATGCAGGATCGGATAGTATGACTGCCGCGACGTAGGCTTCGAAGACGTCGCCCTTTGTTTTGGTCCATCGCTTTGATGGGGTATTGTAGTTTGGCGGCACAGAAACCCTGCGATCCAAACCAAAGCTTTCGGCGAAGCCTGCAAGTGTTTCATTCTTAACAAGGATCTCCCGAATCTGTGATATTCGACCTGCTGGTAAATTTGGAAATTTCTCCCAGACAAGTTTTGTTGCAATCAGCTCAATGTATGCATCGCCTAGAATCTCGAGTCGGTCGTAGGTCGTGTTGTTATTGTTGCTAAGAGCTGGATGGGTAAAGACAGCATGTTCCAGCTTATCATCCATGATCGGGGGGAGCCTAGGGTCACAAGATCCACTGCCAAACTTGCAACTGTGGTCTGAGTGGTGTGATTTTGGGACCTCACTAGCCATGGAAGAATCTCTGGAAGCCAATTGATTCCCCGTCCCACGAAACGTGTCATCCAGCCTCAAAACTGCGGCCACAACCTCCGAGTCAGCACCGGTCAGATCAGAACTGGTTGAAATTTCTCGAACAAGGTGTTGCAGAAGAAGGAGACGAGAATTGTTGCTAGATTTGGCCATGCTGCGGTTGTCACCAATAGAGAACTCAGTATCCGACGGCCGACTTGATTGTTGAACCTTATGCAAGTAGATGTTAGAAACTTAATTGAACCCCTGGAATTCACTCAGAAGGATGAGAACACAGTATTCACCTTGGGTCGTTTTTGTGAATATTGTGTGGCGTCTGACCCAAAGACGGAGGATGCTCTTTTCAGATCAACCATTGGCCTTTTCAAGCCTGCCGAATCTGCTATCTCCTTGTCTTGAGGCATGTCAATTGCTGTAGCCACAGTTCAGTCTCAGTCCAGTTTTGTGCTTGTGCTCTTTCCCTTATTTCCTTATTTCCGCTTTTCCCTCGAGGTAAAATACATGCATGGATGGTATGTAGGCGGTATACTTCGGGAGGTCACATGACTAACCGGCAAACTTCAGTTTGGATAACATCTGTTTATCAACCGAGCTGCTGTGAACAGCTGCTTCACCCATTTCTATTTGCATATGATTCTTCTGAAGCTCTGAGAAAGGAAAATGGCGTCAAGTCGGATCTTGGATCTAGTTAAGGTTCAATCGCCCTGTTCATTTCACTATGGTGGCATTCACTAATTGACAATTTTCTAGACCCAATGCCGCATATTCTCTCTCAATTTCAATCCACAACGGCTTCGACTTGGAAACAAGGTCTTGAGACAGCGCTTGCGTGGGCCAGCGCTTGCAGCCTGGTACCCTAAACAAACTGTGTCTTTCCAAGATCTACAAAACACTTATAAGCCTCTTGGATTGACGACATTTGATGAAGCCGAAGATGACAGAGAAGAAGCCATTCAGATGTAAGAATTAACATCCCACATCACATACGCTCACTAACCACCTGGTTAATAGTGCCAAATTACGAGGAAAGGGCCGGCCGAAGAAGAAACGAACTGCTGCAGGTAATTTCCTCCACACCTAATGGTTTCCTGCCGGGATCAAAAATCTAAAACTTGAACAGAATCGAGATCCGCAAAGAAGAAGAAATAGATTGCCTGCTTAACCTTATAGGCCTTACTGAGCTCAACATTGCACCACTCTCATCAACACCGGCACATATTCTATATCCGGACTCTTCCTACGATTTGGCTGGGCTAGTGAAATACTACTCTGCAAAGCTGTTTAAATATTTTGCTTCAGGTGCAAATTGTCTCGGGATTTTATGCGTTATCTTCGCCCATAGTCTCACCATCCGACATGGTTTGTTTTGTTTCACATTTTGTACAATAATACACTTATTTTCTTTTCTTTTTTGGGGTCTCGTGTCAGTCAGTAGTTCATTGGAACAGTGCTCAAAGTTCTATGTAAAGAGTTGAGAGTTCTGATCTGATATATTAGACCAATGTACATTAATCGATCATTGCATAACAAATAAGAAGGGACTCCCAAGCGTTGGAAGGCTTCTAAGCCCTGCAGGTTGCTTTATGATGGCTCTTGCATTTATTTTATGTAGGCGACGCTAGTGCGGCAAAATATAGGCGGTAAGGCATTGTAACTGGACGCACGTGATGACAGTTGAGATGCAATATATTCTGTTTTTAACCTTGTCCTCCCACTCCATCGTCTTTCGCTAAATCTATTTTTGCACGTACTTGCACTTGAACTAGGCTGTCAGTGCCATATCTCTTTCCATTTCTGCGATATTCTTCACCTGGCACCGCGTTCATTGAGCGGCTACCAAACCTCCCAGCGACCATGAAACTGAGCAAGAACCAGCTCAGAAGAGCCAAGAAAAAGGCCCAGAAAGCCGAGGTAAGGCAGATACATCCCTCAAAGCCTCTTAGTCATAAACGATGCAAATCTGACACTACTGTCAAGACTACGAGCCTTTCCATTGACAATACCACATCACGGGAGCTGTCACCCCCGGCAGTAGCTATCTCTCGGGATGTACCAACTGATACCAATACCGATCTGCTTACCGAGCCAAGCGATCCGCTATGGGAAATGTACAAAGGCGTTGCCGGAAGATTCGACGAGAGAATGAACGAAAGTTTATCGACGAAGGAGACTGATAAACCAGAGGTCTTCTTTGACGATGGTGATGAAATACCCGACGAAGAGCAAGAGAGCGAGCCCAAGATTTCAAAAAAGAAGCGGAAAGAGATGAACAAGCTATCCGTTGCTGAACTCAAAGCAATGGTGCGAAAGCCCGAAATTGTTGAATGGACAGACACATCCGCGCCTGATCCTCGACTCCTAGTTCACATTAAAGCCCATCGCAATGTCGTCCCGGTACCCTCTCACTGGTCGCTCAAACGAGAGTATCTTTCATCCAAACGGGGAGTGGAGAAGGCGCCATTTGCTCTCCCGAAATTTATACAGGAGACCGGAATATCTGAAATGCGCGATGCTGCTTTAGAGAAGCAGGAACAGTCAAGTTTGAAGCAAAAGCAACGGGAGAGAGTGCAGCCAAAGATGGGCAAGCTGGACATTGATTACCAGAAGCTTTACGAGGCATTTTTCCGTTTCCAAACTAAGCCAGAGCTGACTCGCTACGGTGAGATATACTATGAGGGCAAAGAATACGAGACCAATCTCAAGCATCTCCGACCTGGCGAACTGAGCGATGAGTTAAGGGACGCTCTTGGTATGGCCCCAGGAGCCCCTCCCCCGTGGCTTGTCAACCAGCAGCGATATGGTCCACCGTCCTCCTACCCCGCGTTAAAGGTCCCCGGCCTCAATGCGCCGCCTCCCCCCGGCGCGTCGTGGGGCTACCACCCCGGAGGTTATGGAAAGCCACCTGTCGATGAACACAACCGCCCATTATTCGGAGGCGATATCTTCGGCGTTTTACAGCCCCAACAGCATGCCCAACAAGGAGAGCCGATCGAAAAAGATCTTTGGGGAGAATTGCTTGAATCAGAAGAGTCAGAAGAGGAGAGTGAAGCAGAAGAGGAGGATGAAGATGAAGAAGAAAGCGATGAAGATGGAGTGGGTGCAGGTGCTCCTTCTCCTAGTGGCATGGAAACCCCAAGTGGAATAGACTCAGCAGTGCCATCTGAATTTGTTGGCGCTGAAAATGTTTCTGGAGAGTTTGATGTGCGCAAACACCATCGGGGTATTGACACAGAGGAATCCGTTCACCCTCGGAGTGCTTATCAAGTTATTCCCGAGAGGCAAACAAACGTGGAAGGCTTTTTCGGAGGTGATAGGGCCTACGACCTTAGCGGATCAACAGGCAAGCCTCCTGTTCTCGGCGCAGAGGACCAAACCCGGAAACGCAAAAAGCCTGGGGACGTTGAAGTGTCTGTCAATTTGGATGCAATCCAATCCGGCGATGGCCTCAGCAAAGAGAGCCTCCAGAGCATGTACGAGTCACAGAGACAGCAGCAGAATCCACCGAACTGGGGTTTCCAGGAGGACTTGAGTGACATGATTGCACAGGAGCACCGCAAACGACTCCGAAAGGAGGAGGAGAGACGAGGGAAGCATTGAAGATCCTTCTTTCGGTGTATTTCTTATTTTCTTTCTCTTGGGTTCCCTGGAGCGTGCTTCTTTCATGATGAGCATTGGAGTTTGGCTGCTTTTGTGTACACTCTGGGTTGCAAGAAACCCTCTGGCCTGTAATGTACGGTTAGTTTTGAATTGAAGTTCTTATTGAATAATCCATGAAACTTGAAGGGTTGTACTCGGTAGATTTGTCCGTATAGATCCCCTAAGTCAGTCGATTACATCTTGTACGTACATACATTGAGGTCCACAGTCACGGGAATCGATTCCAAAAGGGTTTAGCCCGGTTCTCTCATCTACCGTATCTCGACCCTCCAATTCCTTGTATTTTAATCTACTTTCACCCTCTCCCCAGGAGACGGAGAAGTAGCACTGGGTAATTGTGTGCTCCTGTGCTTCACCGTCTATTCCCATCCCAGAGTACTCTGGAATTCCTCTCACCTACTCTAATATCCATATTCTCTGTGCTAGAATGGACTGGGATCGCAGAAGGTTTGTAGAAGCACCAAAACGTTTGAAAGGAAGCACAATTCTAAGTATTTACCTAGATTCGATGAACGAAGAGGTGGTGAAAGTTATCGTCCTGCCGAAAGAAACGGTCGTTCCCCTTCTCGGGGGTATGAAATTCGTAACCGACGTTCGCCACCACGAACCCGAAGCCCTCCTCGACCACGAGCGGACACTTGGGTACCGTCATCAAATAGAGGGTATGGACGCCTACGAAGTCGCTCACCGCCACCATACCGGCGCCGCTCACGTACTCCTCCCGGGAGAAACTTTGGACCACCTCCCTATGAAAGACGACGATCCCCACCAAGAAGGTTCTCGCCCAGAAGAGATGAAAGGGTTAGATCACCGCCCCAAAAATGGCGCTCGAAATCGCCCTACAGCGATGGCAGATCACGCAACGCATCCCGCGCTCGCAACAGCCCAAGACGAATACGTGACACAACTCCTAGCAGTCAAGTCTTCCGACCCACGAGACGAGACGGCCCTGCTATCTTGAATATTGACAAACATCCCAGAGCTTCTTCGCCGAGGGTACAGCCTGAAGCCTTGTTGCCACAAAGTCCAATCCATGCCTCGCATCGAGACCACCCCCGTGATGCAGTGAAACGAGATCGGACTTTGTCGCCCACAAGACATGTTTCACCTGCACCATCCCCGCCTGTCCTAATATCTCGACGTTCCTCGCCAGCCATAGAAAAGCCCGTGGTAGCTTCCCACAGAGCTCGTACTCGGTCGCCGATTCGCTCTCCGGTGCCCTTCCAACGGTCATCGAACCCCTCAGGTCGATCTCCGTACCGGGATCAGATCTACGATACGGAGCCCTCTTACCCACAACAACGGCCAGATCTTGAGGATCGAGTATCGATTGGCAATCGTTCGCCTTTTTCGATCCCAGAGAAAACACATTTGGAATCCCAGGCGAGCGGGACCAGGGTTGGTGGCAACATCCCTACCCAACCGAAAAACCACGGCGCGAGCCCACTTCCGCTACCACCATCTGGACCTTACCAGGGACCGAGGCCGCCATCTAATCAGCATCGTGGTCCTCCGCATGTCTCTTTACTGTCAGCCCCGACTCGTCCTCGCCGCGGACCTGGCCCACGTGATGCTTGGGCGGGATCTCCGCCGGTACGCCGTGGAACTATTGCACCTTCGCAAGCCCCACCAGCAGGTCCTCGCGCTTCTTTTTCATCCCCGGTGCCAGGTGGCAGTTACCGGCACCCAACTGCTCGGCAACCCAGCATTCCATCTGTAACTCAACCATTGACTCAGAGGGGGGTCAACCATCTTGCAGGCCTGTGTACTATCATACCGGAAGGTCGAATTCTTCCGTCGCTTCTAGACCCTGCTGTGGAGAAGCGGTTGGCTCAGCTTGATGTCGACAAAGAAAAACTTCTTGAGCAGATCGCAGAGACGCAGAGGTCCAAGCGAGCGGAACTTCGAGACTGGGATCGACTCGATCGCGAAAGCTCAATCTGCGCCCTTAAGAGCGAGCTAGCTGAGGGCCATCTCCAGCGAATGGCCGACGAGAGCATTGGGGGCGGGAACTTGTTCTAGCGAAGCAACGATACATGTTTGTCCTACAATGGCAATTCATCTCGGCGTGTTATTCGGTCGTATGTCTGGTTGCGGTCTAGGTAGCGATTATGATTGTTTTTTCTTCCAAGGTTGCTTGTATCAATATGATGACTTGACGATATTATACATTTTTGGGGCTCGTATAAAAAACAGAAAAAGAAAATATTGTGCTTGTAGTTATATTAAGTACATAAAAAGTCTTCAGGATCGATGGAAGGTTTATAATTTAATACATACATGGATGCATAGAAGAATCCCAGTATCAAGATCATATATGCCTAACCTAGGTACTAACTAGTTATGTATGTAGATACCTACAAAGGTACAGAGTACGTATATAATAACTCCATTGCAGGTACAATGATACCTGTACAGTATACTCTCCTACCAGTAAAGTACGGATGTATTTTCAAGAGTACAATCCCTGTAGTCCGTACCAATACATATAATCTAAAGTATTATTGGTATTATGCCGTATGGTACATACCTGTCATATACATCTCTAATGTACTATGTACTATAATGTACTCCGTACTCCGTACCTGATCTGCAAGTAATTTAAGTTCCCCTTCCATTTTTTTGCCTTCGTGTCAACAACTCAGCTATTTTGGTGGAAACTCCTACCAATTCTCAAACTTGTCTCCTACCCTCCCCTTCCTTTCTCTCTCTTCTCTTTCTCTCTCCCTCTTCTAGCTTAGGTCACTATTCATATTGCTAACTAAGATCCGTCTCCGGCATAATGAATCTCTTCAGGTTATTAGGTATGACATAAAACCAATGGAAACCAACGCGATATACTAACCCTCAACCGCAGCCGACTTCTCCCATCTTGCGTCGATCTTCATGCTTCTGCGGAAGATGAAGACGTCAAGCGTACGTTCTTGTCCATAAAGCCACATAGGACTTCCAATTAATAGCGGATCGCAGAGTTGTTCTGGGTTGTCATTCAAATCGCAGGTGTTATACCTTCTCGTCTTTGTCACTCGGTATCTCGGTAGGCCTCAACGTTACTGTCGGCATGATATTCATCACAATCGCTCATGCGACTTATAGATCTTTTCTGGACGTTCACCGACTCCCTGTACCTCACCACGTTCAAGCTTCTGTTTATCGGTTCCTCGGCCTACGTCATCTACCTGATGCTCAACGACTACAAACCTACACATGATCCCAATATCGATACTTTCAAGGTTCAATACCTCCTCGGAATCAGCGCGGTACTCGCAATTCTCTTTCCACGCGATTATCGCATCTCCGAGGTTGGCTGCATCCTGTCTATAGTGTGAAAACAACCGGACTAACGTCATACAGATACTCTGGACTTTTTCCATCTGGTTGGAGTCGGTTGCCATATTGCCACAACTATTCATGCTGCAACGAACCGGGGAGGCAGACACCATCACCACCCACTATCTGTTTGCTTTGGGACTCTATAGGGCACTCTATATCCCGAACTGGGTCTTCCGCTATTTCACCGAAGCCTCCTTCCAACGTTCCTTCCAACCTGTAACCATTATTGCCGGCATCATTCAAACGTTGCTTTACTCCGATTTCTTTTACATTTACTACAACAAGTAAGCCCGATTGGCTCCCCTCCCTATATGTTGTGGACACTGACTTTCGCGCTTTGTTCTGCCTAGGGTTTTGAAGGGCAAGAAGTTCTCGCTTCCCGTTTAGAACCCTTTCCTTTTTGAATGAGTTGAGGAATTGATGATATCTTGATTCTTCTTAAGGTTCCGAGATGGAATTTTGAATCCGATCCATTGGTTCCTTTTATATTTTCCTGGAACACTGATCGTCTATCTCACAAGCACCGAGTGCCCTGAACCCGTGCAACACCCCTCCTCCAGCCCCGACACTGGGAGTTGCTATGAATTAATGTTTTCATGTCGCCAATCTGTATGCATTTAGGAATGGTCACATGAGGCTCAAATCAACCCGGAATTGACTACCAAATGTCGAATATCGAATACGACCATGGACTATGTGCATATCTGATTGTTGTATTCTATTTTCAGACCAGAGAAGGGAAATTCTCTTGTCAAACCTTCTGTACTTTTGGGTCATTGGTCTACCATTCAAATGTAGCCTATGTTGTATAATGCAAGATTCAAAATTCAAGATTTAATTATTCAGAGTATTCTTTGTTTTCGTTTTTCATATTCTTCCCATTTTTATTCGAATGCCTCCCCTTCCATTCACCGTTGGGGTCCCTTGTCTCTTCGTACACTCGAAGCCCCGTAGCGGATCGGAATCGACCTCTCGCCCCGTTCGAGTATGCCACCGTTCAGACTTGTGGTTGACAAGGAAGTATAAGACGATCTAGAGGCTCCTAGTAAGGTATACTTTTGGGAAGCACACAATTAGTGCGTCCCGATGATATCAAAAAGCAACATCCACCCAAGTCGACCAAAAAAGATAATCAAAACTCTCGTTGAGGCGCAGCCCCATGCGTCGGGACATATCCCGTTGTATAACTCAATTGGGATGGAGGGATGGATAGATCGGTGGAGAAGGGATCCAAGGTGCCAGCAATTGAGTGTGAAAGATTCCCCATAGGGCCTTGGAACGACCGAACTCCGTTACCTAGATTCGAGCGACCTTGCACATTTTGATGACTATCCATCCACCCACCGTGGCCGTGTAGATGACCAAAATAATCCGCTTGCGCCCTGTCAAGGGGCATTTGACCAGCAAACGTCGACTCTCGTCGCGAAATTGGCGGCGACGGCAGTTTGGGGGATCGAGAGATCATCTCCAGTCTAGGGGAGCTTCTTCGTGAATTGGGTGGTGTCAGGCGTGATCCCCCACGGCGCACCTGGCAGGTTGGACAGATCTTGACGAAGCGGGAGATCAGTTCCTTGGGAACCCTAATGATATGGTCAGTAGCTGTGGGTCAGACACTTCATTTACATATATATGTAACAGGCTCGAATTTACCCACCATGAATAGATCCGCCGGACCTGAGCAGATGTCTTGTCTCGGCCACCATGCTGGCATTGTTGATGGGCTTTGGTGAGGATTTTGAATAATTTCTCGCGAATTGCAACCGGCTTTCCCTCGTGACAGATCATCTTCCTATGCTTTATATCGCAACAAAGTACTCCATCAGCATTGGTTGATCATGTCCGTTGGGACAATCGAGACTTACATCTGATCCCACAGCTTGGAGCTTGAACATCTTTTTAACCCAAAACCTGTTTTATTTAGTAAAGTAGGCGATTGATTGAATTAAAGAGATTCATACCGAAATTGAGCCGACTCTACCGCCGTGTCTTTGGGGTCAATCAACACAGTTCTGATGTTTCGTGCTCTTTTGGCATAGATCAACGCTTTGTCTTGCTTCTTGATGGATAGGTCTTCAACGTAGCTGGAATTATGAGAGATCAGTCCGAAGTCTACCATGGTATGACACGGGTCACTCACTTCTGCATCAGTTGGTCAAACTCCTTTACATCAGGGAAGCCGCCAAGTGCGGGCACTACAGCCTCTGACAGCAATGTAGCCTCGTTATGAGACTCCTGGCTTTCAATCTCTGTTTCACCCAGCAGGTCGCGGGGTAAGTACCTTGGCCCCTGAAGGTAGCGCGATTGGGACATGAACTGTGGGGGGTGGTGTAGCCTAGGGTCATCCGGTGTTGTCATTGATGGAATCGAATGTTCCGACGTGTATTGCAAATGCTGCAGACCCGGAGACAGACTCGACTGTGGGCCATAGGGCTGCCCGAACTGAGACCCGTATGGGTTGAAGGAATGCTGAGGGAAATGATATGAACCAGATCCATGTGGGTTGAAATCATGGCTCTCTTGCTTGAAGTCATGACTCTCCGGTTGACCGTACGAGCCAGGCACTGCCATTTGGTGGTTCATGAGATACGGATCATTCCCCTCGTTGCGCCTTGCAAAGCTGCTCATAATTGATGCCTCGCTGAGTTGGAATGTTAATCGATTATTGTTCACCTCACGTCAATCCGTCCCAAACATACAGAAGAAGGAGAAGGAGAAGGAGAAAAAGAAGAAGAGGGGGGAACAAAAAAGATCAGTATACAGCGGGTCCCCGAGGGTGGTGATAATGATAGTGAAACGGAGACTGAGCTAACTCGTTTGCATGTAATTGAAGAAGAATTGCCACAGTACCCTGGTACACCACGGCAGGTATCACAAAAAGAATTGAACTGTGTCTAGAAAGACCACAGTGCGAAGGTGAAATATAGAAGGAGAGAAAGAGGAATAATTCACAGAAAGGCCATCTGGAAATGGGGTAACAATTCTATTAAAAAGATCCCAATAGAACAAACAGTGCAGGACTGACATGGCTGATGCCCAAGATGAAGTGCACGAGACCATGTCGCGACAGAGATAGTGGACGGAGACAGCAGAGGGCATCCCTGGAAGAGGAACAGCAAATATTCCACAGAGAAAAAGAAATGATGGAGCCAGGCGAGTCGAACAGAGCTCTGTAAGGTACGGAAGCATAGGTATTACCAAAGCTTGCAGGGAAGATAGCGGCATGGGTTTAACGAAAAAAAGAAAGGAAAAGCAGCGAGAAAGGACTGGGGTTCGTGGTTAATTCTTTCCGACTCGCCGAAGGCATCGAAAAAGTGGAAGCAGGCTGATACGACAGCGCACAGAAGCAATGGTGATACGGAATCCTGCCTTTCGATGCCCTGAGGTTCAATCAGCGCCACCATTTGCCTCAAGAAGCCACGTTGAGGGTATGGGAGTGGACAGGCTATTCAAGGCACCCTATCGGAGAGGGGGAAGCCATTTGGCTCTCCTGATTTGACCGAAGTACAGCCAGTACAGCAAGTACAGCAAGTACAGCGGGGGGCGAAATCATCTCCCCGAATTTTCCTATACTTAGAATTGCGGAACAACTCTACTCCCATATAGGATCTTCCCGACTCGAATCAGGAAAGGGGGAAACTCTTTGTCTGCACGTTTGCTTCATCAAACAAAGTCGGCAGGAGATTCCCCCGGGGCCTCCAAAAAAGAAAGAAAAAGAAAAAGGGATTTGTCCATGCAAGTAGCCGTGCAAATTGGTAAGGAACATGGATTGGGAATCTCCTCTGGGAAGTTCTGCATTTCTGCATCCCTCAAGCTTCTCCCCCGTTGGGTTCATCCGGTGAGAAGAGGGGGCAAAAAGAGAGCGCGGGGAAGAAAAGAGGGAGAGAGAAGGGACTCGGGGGGTGTACATCGATGTACGAATAACTGCTCTGAGGCAATTGAGATGCATTCCCTCGAGATTTGAAGTCTTCTAGGGGTCATCCCTGTCATGTCAATGTTGTACTGTGTCTGAGCCATGTCCCAAATTTAAATTTGGTGAATTTTATATTTTTGGGCAATGCAAGTGAGCATCCGAGAAGATGTTTGATTTGACGTGGCATTTACAGGGGACTTTTGCAACGGAAAAGAAAAGAAAAAAAGTAGAATGAGAAGTGCAGAGAGGTGCAGAGAGGTGCAGAGAAGTGCAGGAAGTACAAGTGTACAGGGGGCGGGACGACAGGATGACATACGTTTGGCTGAAAAGGTGAGACACATCGGACATTCTTCATCGGACCCTCGCAGACAGTCCAAAACATATCTGGTGTCACTGCTTTCTGCTGCTTTCCGATTTCTTGTTTCTCTTTACCACAAGGGGTTCTTTTCTTTTTATGCCGAGTCAATCTTCTTAGGTTATTAGGATGCTGTAGTATAGTATATATATAGCTTATACATACTATAGTATATCGACCGTTCAAAAAGAAGGACATTGCCCCCGAAAACAAAACTTATTAAACTGTATGTACTCAAGACAAAAGATATAGTTACATAGCATTCTGCCCCCTTGGTCAGATATGCTTGAAAAAAAAGAAAAGAGAACCATAAATTCATGACATCGGCCGAATCATCAGGGCCAATGGGGGGTGTCTTCACGTCGTAAGTTCGTGTATGGGCTTTGGGTTAGTACATGTACATGCAGGTCAAAAAAAAAAAAAGAAGGCGACCCCTGTCCGGGAAAAAGAAAGAGAAAAAAGCCGATGCAGACGTCAAATCTGGCATTCTATGCTGATCCCCGGTCAAAGGCCACTAAATCACGGATGATCCATTTCCAATGATTTTCATGATCGCCTCGATCGAATACCCATTTGTCAACCTTGCGTCTCCACTTGTCTTCCTCCGCTCGCTGCCGTCGAATGAATTCTGGGCCGACATCGAATTCTTCGGTCATAGGCCCTTCATCGGAGGATTCACCGGCACTTGCATCGTCCCCAACTACTGGGAATTGGTCCTCAATCACTCCAGAATTTCGTCCATTGATAGTGTTAATTTTGTCATCCAAGTCGTCTAGACCGGCAAACACGTCGTCTTCCTCGGCACCTCCAAGAGATGCTCGGAGCCAACACATACGATGTGGATCGAAGACCATCCCACCAACGGTCTGCACATTCTGCATCGCACCAACGTTGGCAATGAGAGCCGGCGCAGGTTTGGGTGATTTAGGGGTGGAATCAAATTCTTGAACCAAATTTTCGTTTCCTTCCCACCGGAAATTGGTTGGGTTGTAACGCATACCCCTCACGGCTGAAAAACGATTAATAAACCGGAGAAAGAATAAAATCACGTAAACAGGAAGATCGGAGATGTGGCTTACATTTGGCATCCTGCACCCCAGATCCCATGGGCTTGATCAAGTGCGGCTTGGATGTGGATTTGGAATTTGGTTTACCTTTCCGGCTTCTGATCGTTGCCGACGCCGGAGGAATCCTCGAGATTGGTTGGGACTTCCAGTTGGAGTTGAAGGTCGAAAGAGGATTCGGTTCACGGGCCTTCGAGTTAATAGCCATGGATGCAATGCGTTGCTCCCTTGCATTTCTAGATGCATTTGTATCTCGCGCAAACCTAGGGGTTGGACTGGGCAATTTGGCGGTTGATGGGGATGTTAAAGATGAAGTAGGGGATTCGTCGTGTGGGGGATCAATCCGGCTCTGGCTGAGTCTGGCACGGACGGACCTTGGAGCACCTCGACCGGTGGGGGTTTTGACGAATTTGCTCTCGGCCAAGACCGATGTAGATAGGTCATCGAACGACTCCAACTCCGTTCCATCCCCGAAATTGCGCCGTTTAGCGGGTCGTGTGATGGTTCGTTTGGTAGAACCGAGAGAGTCCGTGCTTGGGTCACCAAACCCAGGACGAAACGGCTCATTGCGAGTTGGCCGGGAGAGTCGAGAGACTGTCCCCTGCGGACTAAGAAGTCCACTAGAGCTATCTGAATTTGTGCGACGCGACGAGCGATACCCCTTCACGCTGGCATGGTGTGATTGGGATTCGGATACACCAGCCGGCATAAATGGCACCTGTGGCCTACGACCTAGCGACCTCGCATCAGTTGCAGGGAGATCCACCGGTGTTTTAGGTCTGGTAGAGGGAAGTCGGACTGGACGATCGGCCGGTGGTCGCTGAGAAGCGGTCATTGAAGGCGTCGAGCCTAAGCCACGAAGCGATGGCAGGGATCGCTTCGTCCTCAAACGCCTAACTGAAGGGTTACCCTCGCCACCCTGGGCAATGTCCCGGGAATTGCGAGACCCGTGAAGCCGTCGACCAGAGAGTGTAGGAGTCGGCGATGTCGGATTGGCGTTAGCAGCTGGGAGACTTGAGGTTGACGATTGAGACGAATGCCCTAGACGTGATTGGGATGTTCGAAATTTGGAAAGAGGCGCACCACTTTCTGACACGGTCTCAAGGTGGGTTGAATGGGTGCGATCATGACCAGACAAGCGTGGGATGCGCGTCCGTGGAGATCCTGTCGCACTGGTGAACGTGAGTGTTGTTGCAGATCGACGAGTTGGGCTGGATGGCCGTTCTGTCTTGCATTTTATGTTGGGGTTTAGAGCGGGTTTTCCAAAGGAGAAAGCCTTCTCATTGTCGATATCAATGCCAGAAAAGAAGTCATCAGCGTCAGAAGGAATATGATTCACCTGACTCTCTTCCGCTTCAATATTCTCAGCTTGGGCAGTCTGTCGCTTCTGCAGAGAAGCACTGAAATCAAGGGGACCATCGGGGATGACGATACCGTCGAGGCCATCATCTTCGCTTTCTGCCGTGAGACAGCTTGAAGCGCTGGGGCTGGCGATGGAGATAGAAGAACTGGGAACTGAACGGCCATCCCTTGCAGTACCACCAACTCGTACACCGATACTTCCTTCTGACCACTCAAGGTCGAAGTCCTCTAAAGTGGGACTGGAAACGTAGAAATTTGCTTTTCGATTGGATAATTCGAGAGGTTGATGATTGGGGGAAGCTCAAAATCCTGATTGAAATCTTCATCTGCTTCTTGTTCAATATTGAAACCACTGCCAACATTGCCAATGTTTAATTTCTTCGGAGACCGGGGAGTTGGGGCTTTGAGGGTTGAGATATCTCGGGGTTCCAGACTATCATTGTTATCTTGGAAGGCGTCAAATGGTCGCAAAGTAGATTGCAAACGCATCGAGAATTCGTCGTCCCAAGATGGCGAGGCCGTAGATTTCACTGGACTGGTAGCAGCGGAGCTCAAATTTCGAAGGGAGTCGGGAAACATTGTTTCCTGAGGAATTTTGAGCTGTAACAGGGTTTCAGGACCCGGGAGCTCAACGTCTTCTGACCAGTCATCAACAAAAGTTTGCTTAGTCTTTCGAGTTGACAAGCGCTTGATCGTGCCCCCAATAAGAGCCGACTTAGGGATATCTGGAGGAATGGGGATGCCCGCAGTCTTGGCCGAAGCAATGGCATCTTCTTTTGCAAATTCATCGTTGTCATAGAGTGGTACCTGCCAGTCTTCGTCGCCCGCATTAGAGTCAATATCTGAGCGAGCAGAACGTCGGGAGGAGATAGAATCTCGGTGCCCGGAGGGCCGAAATGAGGAGTTTGTTATGGACCCCGCGCTCGACGCGGTGCGAAAGTGAGTATCCTCGCTGAACTGCAGGTCGTCGTCATCATCCCAGCATTCAATCGGCTCGTCGGTACCCGGTTGTAGGTGGATTGGTAAAGATTCCATGGTCGGCGAAGCGATTTGGTTGAAGGCGTACAGAGAACACGGAGGTCATGAGATGGTTACAGGTGTCCAAAAGTGGTTGTATTTAAGTGGCAGACTCAGTGCTTTGCGACACTGGTGAGGGTTCAGGGGGTGCGAACATGAGCGTCATTCCGTGTCGGGTGGTAGGGACGAAAGATAGGAGCGAGTGAGAAGCACGGTTTCACAGTTGATCGTAGCGTGAGAAGTGAGCTCGGATATCGCAAGGTGGGTGGTTAGAGTAATCAGCTCAATAACGGCCTTGCTCTAGAGTCGATTTCGCCGAATTAGACTAAGCGGGTTCACTAGGCGACCTGATAAATGCCAGGTCCTCATCCATAAACATTTACTAGAAGAGGACACTTTAGCATTGGGCACCCCAAGACACTTGATTCTGACCGCTGATATTCGGGGGAATTCAAGGAATCAAAAGAACTTGATTGCGAAGGCGAAGAAGAGACAGGGGAAAAGCGACGTCTCGGTTGTGGCTGGATCTCAGATTCCTCGTGGAGGAGAGGAAGAACGTGACGGGGGCCCCGTACTGGTAATGTATCTAGGTAATCAGTTTACCTGGGATATTCAGTGGAGACTGCGTACTTCCAAGTGTGCATTATGTATGTTATACATGGCTATTACATGTAAGTAACAGAACCTTGTCCACACATGCACTCAGTGCATGTATTTATATACCTATAGTACGGTGTGTAAATAGTAGATACCTACTATAGGTCCCGAGTAATACTGAAAAGCTGTATAGATATATGTATAACATAGGTGTAACAATATAACAATTATCTATACGATGCTTGTAGTTTCATAGATATAATAGCTATGGTATTGTTGATATGGTATGTACGGAATACAATTTTGCACCCGTTTTAATACCCGGTATTAACTACAGAACAATACTATACCTCGTATGTTATATCCACTTGGGTTCTGTTGCCTTGGGATATGACTTGTGTTACCTACAATTTTACCTACAATTGAAAATATACATGTAGGCAATTAATATCTCATTTCCCAATAGCAACTTTGAATATTCTCTCTCTTCTTTCCCTATAGCCTTCACTCCCCCTTCTTCTCACCCGATCCCTACCCGAGTCTTCATTCCAAACATGCCATCTCCTGTTTCAACAGACCCTCGGATTTTGCGGTTTCCTAGATCCGACGAGACTGGGTCTTTTGTACTTGTCCATGTTTCATGTACCGGCCCTGCACCGCTTGATCTAAGCTTAACGGCCACCGAGGGTGAATCGCCCTATGTTAGCATCGGTGGGTCGTCGCCGAATGAAGTTTGGAAGTCATGAGCTCATGTTGCACAGTGAAACAAACAAGCCTGAAAGACCTTCAAGCAAAGAATTACCAAGGATCGAATGATGAATGGGTTAAAATTGTGTCTCTCATTTTGGGACAATGTTCTGCCCCTCCTGATGAGCCAGATTGGGCCACCGGTCTTGAAACTTCGGCCAGTATATCGGGTTCTGATGAAGAAAACAAGGAAATTGTGATCACGATACGGAAGCGAGTGCAGACTATCACAGTTCGTGTTCCACACCGCCAGACATATGTATACATATGATATCCCTACTAACATTAATATAGCAACGCCTGGGTGCTTTTACCCTCAAGCAAGACGATGAACAAGCTGTCGAGCTTTTTGAATGGACAGGAATCACTGCAGCCAGAGCTCACATGCTAGAGGAACAAGTTTCCAGCCTGACCGGCCGTTATCGCCTTGCCGAAGACACTATACATAGGTTGAATGAACAGCTTGAGGAGCTGATGCATGCGAAAACCGAACATGAGAATCGACTGGTGGCCAATTTTGTGCAGGTCTTGAACGAGAAAAAGCTCAAAATCCGCAACCAACAACGTCTTCTGGCATCAGCTACTGTGGATGCTACTAAAGGTAGTCGGCATAAATAGAGAAACCTGGATATCCTGACTAACTAGATATCGATAGTCTCCGAGATACAAGCTAGCATTCCCGAGGAGTCACACGGAACTGCTGGGAAATTCCATTCGGCAAAGAGAAGTGCTCGGAAGATGAGCGACACAGATGACTCGGATGGGTTCGAACAAATGGACGTTGATCCAATAAAGACTGATCGAGGTACCTTTAATAATCAAGACACCGATGACGAAGAGCCTTCGACCCATCCTTTGGACGACGAACAAAACAATAGCACGACGGACGACGATTCGTCACAGGATGAATCTGCCCAGCTGAAGCGAGTCTCCCCAGCGAAAGATACCGCGCCGCCTCAAAGAGATTTGCCATTTGTTAAAAGGAGCGGTGGGCCTATCAAGAGGACTGCTCCAACCCAGCCCATCGAAGACGCTGAAGAAACTGCGGGAGAGACGGATGATGATGATGATGATGATGATGATGATGATGATGATGACGAGCTCTAAGCCGGCAACCCGGAACAAGGTGGATAAAGTAGCCCAACGTACTGAGGCGCAGTTCCATCTTATGTGCGGAGGGGTGCCCGATCGACCTACGAGTTAGGACTTCCTCTTGTCCCCATAGGCCTGTATATTAGATATGTATACATCCAAGCAATGAATGTTGACTTCTTCATCTTGTAATACACTCATAGATGGATCTCTTTCTGGGGTTATCTTTCGCTCTTTCGCTCTGTTCTGTTCTTGTTGTTCGGATATCAATTTTCTCCCCTTCTGAGGTCATTTTGTCCAAGTACGACCTCATTTCGTTTCTACTGTAGGAATGAATACTCAACTATACTTTCCCTTTCAAAAACTGACACGTACCAAACTATGAGAGTAGCACAGATTCATCATCTCCGACGCCCATGGACTCGAAATTTTGGGGGTTCAGTCTTTTATGTACAAGGCAACCACTACCGATTAATCCCAGGCGACACCGGAGGATGGCGAAGAGGTCAACAGGAACCGGAAGGGTGTTCAAGATGATAGGGAAAAACACAGAGGATGGAAAGGAAACAGTACATCAAGAGGGAAATTTAAGATGTGGTACAATAAAAACGCCTGCAACCATTAGAGAAACACAGAATGAGGCCAGAATAGACCCCGATCTAGCCATACAAAGCCTGAGGAGACATTTCTCCTGCGGCCATGAAGTTGGTCTCAGGGTTTCCAGTGGCCTTGGCAGCGGAGGCGCGGGCCATGGTGGGCGAACTAAAGCAGAGTTAGCAATGCAAATAAATTAATGTTAAAACTGATGACATGGGGTATTCACCTTCTGGAGATAGCGTCAGTGAAGAAGAAGTCTTCGATCACCTTCTTGAAAGGAGCCCCAGTAACTGGAGATCCCTTGTTCTGGTCCACAAGTTGGACCTTGCTCAACGACCCAACCGAGGTCGGCTCAACAACGTCGTAGCGACGCATGACTGGGCTGATCTCCTCCATGCGGTCGCGAAGAGCCTCGATATCATCATAAGGAAGAGGAGCACCGAGGAATTCGCTAGCGGCACGGATGATCTTCCAATCATCGCGAGCTGCACCGGGGAGAGAAGTGGCAGCACGGGTAACTTGCACGCGGCCTTCTGTGTTGATGTATGTGCCTGACTTCTCGGTGTATGCAGCGCCGGGGAGAACGACATCAGCAAGTTGAGCACCACGATCACCGTGGTGTCCCTGGTAGACGACAAAGGCATCCTTCGGGATCTCACTTTGAGCAATTTCATCTGCACCCAACAGCCACACCATCTTGGGGGTAGTCTGAGCAACTTGGGAAGATGGTGCAGTGAAGCCGACTTCATATGCACCAGCCCGAGACGCCGCACGCTGGAGGACATTGTAGCCCTGCCACTCAGGGGTAATGAAGTTGCTTGCATTCTTCTCAACGAAACCACCGACAGCCTCGAAGATTGCCTTGGCATCGGGGTGCTCTGCAGCAGCACTGCCGACAATAATCATTGGCCGTTTGGCTCCGGCAAGCTTCTTGCCAAATTCTCCAGACAACGCGGATTTCAAGGAAGAGACATCAGTGCCCAAATGGTTCAACTCAAATGTGCTCTCAAACTCCTCACCGACAAGTCCAATCTCAAGATCAGATCTAATATACTGCTTGCGGATGCGAGCATTAAGAACTGCGGCCTCGTGACGAGGGTTTGTTGCAACCAAGAGGATTGCATCCGCCTCCTCGATTCCATAGATCTTGGAATTGAACAGGTAGTTGGAACGGACATCGATACCATGAGCAATGGGGGCACCACCTCCAGGTTGATCCAGGGCAAAGTTGTCAGAGCCAAGCTTGTTCGCGAGGTCCTTCATGGCAACGAGCGACTCGGTATCAACCAAGTGTCCAGCAACGGCCTTGAACTCATTGGCTTGTGGCTGTAGCTTCTGGTGAGCCGATGAGATCTCCGTTAAAGCCTGTTCCCAAGTGGCAGGAACGAATTTGCCCTCCCGGCGAATGAGCGGCGTTGTGAGCCGTTGGGTCTTCAACCCATCGCATGCGAACCGCGATTTGTCATTGATCCATTCCTCGTTAATATCGTCATTCAATCGCGGGACAACCCGCATCACTTCCAGGCCTCTGCTATCAATCCGGATGTTAGAGCCAAGCGCATCAAGGACATCGATCGATTCGGTGTGCTTGAGCTCCCATGGACGTGCCCGGAAAGCATAAGGCTTCGAAGTTAGTGCACCGACAGGGCAGAGGTCAATGACATTGCCTGAGAGTTCTGAGTTGAGGTTCTGCTCGAGGTAGGTTCCAATCTGCATGTCATTTCCGCGACCGGCAGTTCCCAGTTCTGGGGCACCGGCAACGTCGTTCATGAATCGGACACAACGAGTGCAGTGAATGCAGCGATTCATTGAGGTCTTGACCAGTGGTCCGATGTTCTTATCCTCCACGGCACGTTTTCCACTGGTTTCATGGAATCGACCCCGATCAGCACCGTAACGCATCGACTGGTCTTGGAGATCACACTCTCCTCCTTGGTCGCAGACAGGGCAATCGAGGGGATGGTTGGCGAGAAGGAACTCCATGACACCCTCTCTTGCCTTGTGAACCAGTGGTGAATTCGTCTTTACCACCATACCGGGTTGTACCGGCCAAGCACACGAGGCCACCGGCTTTGGGGCACGTTCGACTTCGACAAGACACATACGGCCTATATTTTCGGTTAGCATACATGCATCAATGGCATGGGGTGAGGGAGTATGGGTTGCACGTACAGTTTCCTGCGACCAAAAGTTTTCTTAAGGGATTGGCATTAGCAAAAAAAAAAAAACAATGTCACTCGACCAAAGGCACATACTCGTGGTAACAATATCTAGTACATGTTAGTACTGTAAGCTAATTGGATTCATGAAGTCTTGTCATACCTGGGAACCGTTGCGCCTGCCTGCTCACAGGCCTGGATAAGAGCCGAGCCAGCTTTGGGGAGAGGATGTGAGTGAAGGTTCAATGAGTTATCTTGAGGGAGTCTTTACCTTCTACTGACACCTTTTTGCCATCTAGAGAAACGAGCCATCAGTTATCGATCGATTTGGATGAACTAGACCAAGATGAGACTTACCAATGGTGAGTTCCACCTCGGCCGCGCGAGGGGCTGTCGTCGCGAAGGTCCGGGGGGTGACCTTAGGAACCCGGAGGGACCGGGCGGCCGCACGAAACAGCTGCGGCCGCATCATTGGAAGGAGAACAGAAATGTGAGGGTGGGGGGATAAAGTGGAGGAGGGCGAGGGAGTGAGATCCTGGTGACGGTTGGGAGTTCAGAGAGCACTTTGCATCGGAATCTGCGGTTCTAAGGTTACATAATGGGGGTGCTGACCATCACTTTGCTGACTAAGGGAAACGGTAAATGGGCTCACGGGGATTGGCTCGATTGACTCGGTTAGGCGGATAAACTTCCGCTCCGGGTTGCCTTAAAAGCCACCGTTTCTTCCCCCTGATTCTCCCTTTTCTTTCTTCAATTAAATTGTTTCAGGGCATCATTTATTGTAGGAGGCAGGCAATTTCCCTGTTCCTATTTCCTCTACAGCATGTCCCAAGAGCAGAATTGCACCGTAGCTGGAGCTGTCAAGGGTTCGCCTAATTATGACTTTGTTCCTTACCAACGGTAGCTACATCCCTGAGGTCATTCTCATATATTGTATATTGTAATAATTTTGTGCAATTCTTTACAATTGAATCATTATTCTATCTATCCTATCACATTCTGGGATTTGCCCTTAATTTTGGTCCATCACGTCTATTATAATTTCGGGTGGCAATCTGGACTATGGTGTATGCTATGTGCAACGAAAGTACTATGTATATATATCTAGGGTGACTGGAAAGAATGTTCTGTGCGTCCTAGGCAGGATACACCACAACGAGAGGAAAGGATAGTAACGCAAAGGCTCTTCCGAGCAGCATATCGCTACCATGATATCATACACCGAACTAATAAAATACAAATGCTAGGCTGCAGCTTGAGAATCACTAACCTGCCAAGTGGATTCTTGTTTGGTCCCTGGTAACCAAGTACGAGAAACACTGGCTCCTCTTGGCCGGGCATGCCCAGGCCCATCGTCTTCCTTCTTGGAGTTGTTTGCTGCAGCATAGGAGTTGTTGGGGACACCCTCAAAGGGCCTCCCCCGGGGAAGGCATAACCATTAGAATCCCATGGTTTGTTTGAGTGCCGCACATTCATTGGGAGAATGGACTGTTCAGCACGGAAATGATCCGTATTTGCCCTTTGGTCAGCTACATCGTCATGGCTATTGCGATCGTAAAGGTAGAGGCCCACGAAAGTGAGACCAATGCCAAATGCTTGAATCGAGGTAGTCGAGCTCCCAAACCATATAATCGCTACCACGATCACAAACACACGCTTGACCAATGATGCCACTGAATAGGACACAGGAGAAACCATGGACAGCAACACAAAAGCCAGGATGTTTTGGGCAAAGTGTGAGACCCCATTAAAAACAAACTCAAGAGAAAGAGCACCGTGGTCCAGTGAGCCTTGCTTACCCGATAGCGATATCGCACCATCATGAATGAAATCAGATACTAGCGGGTAACCCTCGGTGACAAACCAAATAGGCAGAGTGAGGAAAAAAGCTAGGCCGGAGCAATAGCAAAGCAAGTTGAGTTTGTCCAACTTCCGTCGCCCCGGGTTTTGCAGGTCTGATTCTGCACGGTCTGCCTCGTTGAACAGTTTCTTCGAGAATATGTTCTGCGAGACAAACACAAGAGCTGCACCAAATGCGCAAAAAATACCGAAGAAATTTGTAGACACTCCGGTCGAGCATGCAAGCATCACACCCAGAGTCAGAGGGATAAGAGATAGATAGGTCGCCCGGGCATATCGAATGCGAAATAGGATTCGGTATGCTAGAACTGTGAAGAGAGGTGAAAGGCCCTTGATGGTGTGGACCAAAGACACAGGGATTTGTGCAGTGGCCATAGAGCTCAGAATGTGACCGGCCAATTGAAATACTGCGAGGGGCAAGGCTGTGGAAATCACGTCACGGGATGGGTAGCGAATTCCGTGTTGAAGGACCGGGATGACTTGCTTCAATCGAGGTATAACTGTAGAGAGGTACACCAATAGCAAACACCAAAAGGAGACAAATGCAAATTGGATCATCGTCAATGTGATCGGCATCGGAAGGGCGTTCAATATCGATTTCGAGGATGTGTTTGTGAGGGCAGAGGTCAGATACCAGATGAGGCAGAGAGCCTTGAGAAAATGTGTTAGCAAGCGTCGTTGTCGAAGGGGGTTTCTTCTAGGTGTGGACTTCTCAAAACACGAATCAACATACAGTGAGTCGGTAAGAGACTGGGGCGCGAAGTGCTTCGGCCAATTCATGAGCATTGGCACTCATGCTGCCATTGCGTGTTCTGATTGTCGTGATAGCTTCGCTGATGCTCTTTCGTGGGCGGAGTTTAGGATTTCGTAATGACCCGTTCCCGTACTCTCTCGAATAGAGGTTTGCTTTTCGGGGTTCCCAGAGCTCGTTCGGGGCATATTTCAACGAGGCGCTTCGGTTTGGACGAGTGGACCCCGCGACGATGTCGAGGGTGTCTTCGTAAGGCGGAAATTTGTCTATCGGGCTGCTCGTTGATTGAGGAACGGAGGATTTGGTTGGGATTTGCAATTCGGCCTGGCGCATGGAGGCGCGTCGCCCATGACCGGTTACTGTGGTTGTAGCCATCTTCCACGACCCGGGACGTCTAGACTATCTTTCAGAGACGTCAATTCCCCGGACCCCCGAAAAGAACCCGCACTTGGTGTCACTTACCCGAGAAGGGCGAGAAAGCAGCTTCGGAAAGGCAATCCGCTCAATGGTTTCCGGTGAGGATATGTGTCCGCTTCACTAATTAACGAAGGAAAAAGGGCGGGTTGGTTCGCCGGTTTGTCGATGACGAATCTCCTTGGGCGAATGAGCGTCGAGTATAGAAACACACACGCTTTCGGCGAAGTCCAAGCGATGAAATGATATGTGAATATACCTAGTGAATACCTAGGCATATGTCAGACAAAGGAATTGTTGGGAAAATATAAGTTTGAGATGATGTCCCCATAATAACTTGCAACGCGACCACGGATAGAGACGCAATTTGGTTTTCCTGTACGGAGTACCGCCACTTACATTACGGGAAGTTGATAACTAATGAAGGAGTTACATATCCATGGATATCTCTCTACCGGATCCGCAAGCCGCAGTATGGCTATTCCTATTGCATAGGGATCTATACTATGTATGATTTTCTATCATTCCCCCTCTTTTATTTTCTATAATAAGAAATCTCCCTTGTTCCGTCTTCGTATGTATGCTCTTTCTTCATTACGCGTCATCAAGATCACGTGGTGTGGACCCTGATCTGCATGCAATGTCTTGGCTTTTGGGAGTTAGGGCAACCTTGGAAGGCATATTTAGCTCTGATCGATATACGGAGTATATTGTGCGTGGCTCATACAGCCTCTGTCCTTGACAATATAGAGCTATAGTCATCTAGTCGATTTAGTTTAAGATATTACACCCCCCCTCTCAGAACTATGGCCCAGAATATGAAATAAGCAACTATCAAATGTAGAATATGATGAAATCTCGGAGGGTTTCATACTATTAATTCTAGAAAGTGCCGTTGCTATCTATTAATAAGATGCAAGAGGATGTAAATACACGAAACGACCTTTATCCATATGTATAACCTTCCAATGACACATGTAGACCCTTGGATCTATCCAATCTGACCTTCGGGGTCAAGGGTATTGAATATATGAATGTTCACGAAATTGATTTGATACATACATGTACTACATAGGTATACTCCAAAGTACCTACTACATACATACATAGTTACAACATATGTATGTACCAATCTATGGATCCACGAAACTAGAACCAACTATGCCTAATTGGGTAGTCTATGGCATACATACATGTATGTATATATATGGAAGGTTCTCTGTTCCTTCCTCAGTCTCTTGTTTCCTTTCCTCTGTTCTCTCTCCCCGCTCTCTCTGTCTCTCTCTCCTATCCCAACTTATTCTCCCATCCTCCAGTCCCAATCTCGTCCCTTCTTACCATTCACTACTTCCCCATCTCCAAAAGTTCCCTTATGTTTACTGTCATTTTGCAAGAATCTGCTCGGAATCCTTTTCGTTGCATGTAAACTCACTTGGTTTCCAACGAGCCTGTCTGTCCCCACCTTCACGCAGCGTCTTCATTCCTTCTGCCCCTCTCTGTTCTTTTCGGTCTCTATATCTGGTTTTGTTTCGGTTTCACTTTTAATCTCTCCCAGTTAACAACATGTCTACCCTCAGCGGATCTTCAACACTTGGCCGAATAGGCAATGGAGGGCGATTTGCCTCGAATGATGCCATTGATGTGCGAAATCTATCTTTTGGACACGAATCGCCGGTATGTTTCTCGGGAGACAAGTGTGAATCAAGTTTATAGCATGCTAACCAAATTGGCTGTGACAGAGCCCTCAGAACTCGATTACTCATTACGCGCCTTCCGATGTGGCTGAAGCATCCCGACATGGAAAGTTGCAGACCTTGTCTGGTGAAGGGGCTGAGCACTCGGCGAGCAAGGTATGTGGTTTCATGTGGCATTAGCTCACAGATGTGTATGTGTCTGTAATCTCACAATCCCAGAAGCAGAAGCTAGATCATATCAAAGTTGAACCTTTGAACGGACAAACTTCGGACCTTGACAGAATCCTGGCAAAGATCTCTCCCAAAACAAACCCCTTTCCACGTTCTGAAACCGATCGCTCTTCCGTTTCATTTCAAGTCACCCCGGCCACAACAGTGCCGGCTTTAACCCCCGCTGAAACAACCAACCCTTACCCCCAGGAAGACAGAACGGTAGAGTTACTTCGCCTTAGGCAGGAACTCCTTGCTGCAAATTCCAAGATTGCTCTACAGGAGCAAGAGCTTGCCCAAACTCGCGTGATAAAACATACCTTGGATCAAGCCCTCGGTCCACCCTCAGAGGCTGATTTCGGTAGCCGCGAAATTACGGAGCAGACCATCAGTCACCTACAGAATGCTTTTAATGCATCGAGCTCTGCATTCGCTCAGTTTCAAGATGCGTGGGGTGCTCAAGACGATTCACAATCTGATGTCTCGGATCCATTGTCCATAGGAGCCTACAACAGATCTCGCGCGCTCTGGGCCCACAATGAGCCCACCACAGACAGAGAATATGGAGAAAGCCTTTCAGGTAACAGCAGCTCTACGAGCCAGGACCCAAATCGGTTCTGGGGAGTCTCCAATGTGTATCCTCCATTTGTCGGTCCACCGTCTTTGCAATCACAAAGACCACACCCGGGGTCCTCGGCTACTTCATGTGGATTCTATTCACGTCCTATTGGTGAACAGATGCTGTATCCCCCAGGACCCATCACTGGTGCTCGTCGCTCCATCACCCAAAGCACTAGGGGTGGATCACTATTTCCAATTCAGTCTACCCCTTGGGGTGAATTCGCTTCCGGGTCTTCCAGTGAGCAGACTACTAAGTCACCTACTTCGCCGAAGAGACCCCCGAGTACCTTTCAGCAGGTCGGACTTTACTCTGTGCCCCCTTACCCCCCTCGACTAATTGGAAGCCCCCTCTCACCCACTGCGTCCGAATTTACAGGTACCAGCACAAATGAAACCACATGGACCAACTCGGTAAGAGATAATCATGTGTGTCGTATTTTAATCCATTCTAACCCTTACCAGATGAGCGGGAATTCCATCCAGACGTACGTGTCACCACTTGAACCACTCAATTACCGACGCCTGCTTGACAAGAATGTGTCGTGTGATTGGAAGTACATTGTAGACAAGATCATCTGCAACAACGATCAACAAGCTTCAATTTTCTTACAACAGAAGCTGAAGGTCGGCACAACCGAGCAAAAATATGACATAATTGAGTCAATTGTGCATCAAGCTTACCCACTCATGGTCAACCGCTTTGGAAATTTCCTCATACAACGCTGCTTTGAACATGGAACTCCAGAGCAAGTCGTCGCCATTGCGAATGCGATCAGAGGCAACACGCTAAATCTCAGCATGGATGCATTTGGATGCCATGTGGTCCAGAAGGCCTTTGACTGCGTCTCAGAGGAGCATAAAGCTATCATGGTACATGAACTTCTCCGCAGAATTCCTGAGACGGTAGTCCATCGATATGCATGCCACGTTTGGCAGAAACTCTTTGAGCTCCGGTGGAGTGGCGAGCCTCCGCAGGTGATGGTTAAAGTAAATGAGGCACTACGTGGAATGTGGCACGAGGTCGCCCTTGGAGAGACAGGAAGTCTGGTCGTCCAAAACATCTTTGAAAATTGCGTGGAGGAGGAAAAGGTGAGATTCCCCATCAACCCCCCACTTTTCTCGCTGTCCTGCTTCTCTGTTGGTCGTTTATATTGATTATATTAATGATGCTAATATTTTCTAGCGACCGGCAATTGAAGAAGTACTGGCGAAGATCGATGTACTTGCTCATGGTCAATTTGGGAATTGGTGCATTCAACACATCTGCGAGCACGGTGCTCCCCATGACAAGAGCCGAGCTGTTGAGCATGTTCTCCGTTGGGCTGTGGATTACAGTATGGATCAGTTTGCATCTAAGATTGTGGAAAAATGCCTCAAGATTGGCGGCACGGAGTTCATGGATCATTATCTCTCTCGTGTCTGCACTGGCCGATCTGACCGACCTCGCATGCCATTGATCGATAGTAAGTTGCCCAGGCTTTGATACTACGAGAAGATATTAACTTGTTTTTAGTAGCAGGTGACCAGTATGGGAACTATCTCATCCAATGGATTTTGTTGAATGCCGCGCCTCATCAACGAGAGCTCGTGGCCAGTCACATCCGGTACCTTTCCCTGACGGTTCATTTTCTGCTTCGAGTGGTCTGAAGTCTAACCCGATTCAACTAGGAAACATATGGTCTCCCTTCGTGGCTCCAAATTTGGCTCTCGCGTGGCCATGCTTTGCTGCAACCCATCTCACGCTACACGCCCTGGTCCTGGGGCTGGAATGCAAATCGGCCGTTTCAATAATTTCAACGAAGACAAATTTACCACCACAGGCCAGTCCGGTGGTGGTCGTTTCGGCCGTGGGCATCAATGGGGACCCCATTATGCGCCACTTCGTTGAGTGCCCCTTGATACTTCATTTCCACTTTGCACTTTTACCGTCATGCAAAAAGAAAGACAAAAAAGAGACCCCCTCCTTCTCAAAACCAGATCCAATAACAAAGAAGAAAAACCATCACTTCAGCATCTCACTCACCCCTTCTGCTTACAGGCAGACAGTCTTGCCTTTGCCGGTTTGCCTGGCCGTGTCTTATCAATATCTGTTGACCCAGTTTCAAATTCTCCAATCATTTCTGTGTTCCAATATTGCAACTTATCACTGCTTGCCGATTTATTCATTTGGCTTGCTATCCCCAGTGGCTATCATTTCATTCAATCGTATAGGTTGAAGATTGGGGTGTGTCACGTTAAATTTTCTTGAAGAAAATCATAATGTTATTATCCAAATTCTATTCCATTCAAACATTTAAATCATGAACCTCAAGTGGACAGAACAGAATTTCAGGGTGCAGCACTTGCAGTTTCATCGGAGGTAGTCACCACTTCATCCTTCTCCCAGGGTTTCCGTCGCCGTGGTTTCTCGCTGGAGATATCGTGGCCACTGAGCACTGTGTCTGGGATGTCTTGGATCCCGGGTATTGGTTGTCCCGTAGTGATAAGTTCCACAATGTGCGCAAACGATGATGGATAAGCAGGTTCAGGATTTGTGGAACTCTCCGGCCCAGATGTGCTTGGGTCCGATGCTTTGGGGATTTGCAAGTTTGTATTTTCTTGCCCTTGGGGCTCCGTTGTCCGCGCAGCCAACCATGATTTGAAGGCGACAAAGTCAATAGCCGGAGTGAGCTTTTCTTTCCTATACTTAGATTAGTACCTAAACTATTATTCTGTACAGGTATTTCCAGCATACCGTGAGAAAAAGAAACATTTTGCTTGCAGGACAAGGTCGTCATCCCGGTTCATCTCCCCCTCGGTGGCGGGGGTGTCGGGGTGACCAAGGATTATTGAGAGGCCATTTGCAAACTCGGGATCCGATGTGAATGAGTAAGACTGTAGCCTTTCAAAGACCTGAGCTTCTGAAGGTTGTGCCATTGTCTGATGAAGAATACACACAAAGGTCTCGAGATGCGGAGGATGCGGAGGATGCGTGGGGCAATCTAATCTAAGCTAACTACATATATGTTGCCCAGGGGTAGCCGAGGCTCATCTGCTCTTGTGCATTCTCCAACTATTTGCTCCACATCTTTTCTACTTCTCTCAAAAATAGTGAAAGTCACACGGTACTTGCAAGAAAATTCGTATTTGGTATATATAGACGCCTTACCTGCCTCCCGTATGCTAACCTTTGGCCTGTGAACAGAGAAATTCAGGGATATTTTGCGACGCCAAACTATGCAATATTGAGATAATTCCACGCTCTACACCGTAATATCCATCCCACCCGATGTTGGGTTGACTGCCCCAGAGTGCAGTGGTGCACTTTTACTTTGACAGCCGGGACAGTTGTGCACAACCTCATGGGCGAAGAGATCGCAGTCGATACAGAAGTGATTATGACATGCGGTACACTCGTAGCGACTGCTCACACTCATTCCCTTGGTCTGGTTCTCTGCCATTTGCCAGTGATCTTCCAGAGGCACGGGCGGAAAAGAAAGACCACACGCAAAGCAAGCGGAACTTCGCGAGGCTCGACGCCACGGCACCTCGACCCAGTTGATCAATGGGAATAGGTGATGATATGATCGTGCCAGATGAGTTGAAAGGATCAATGTGAGCCCACAAGATGGGCATTCGGCAGGAAGACTACACACTTTGCTATTGCACCGTGAGCAAAGATAGCCTCCTCGTGAGGGCTTTGAATGGCATGCGCAGAGCGAGGGACTGGACTCCACTGTACGAGAAGGGAACCCCATCATCAGCAATGAGCTTGCAGATTCTTTCTGTGAGTAGGCAGCCGGGGGTGTAGTCACGTCCATCATCAGCTCCCGAAAGTGCTGCTCATTCAGTGCTACACCATATGCTGTTTCATCCCCACCATTGGTTTTTGTACAAAGTTCCCGGCAAATTGCAACCTGCGCTGCGAGCCCCACGATACCAACCCGGATTTTGTCGCTAATCAGGGTATCTATCGTTTGGTGGATGTCTCCAGGATCGGAGGAAAGGAGGGAACCATATATAAATAATATCTCTCGAGTGCCATGGCTAGGTGTATGGCTAAATTCACTGGTTAATTTCGTTCCAATCCGCCCTCCAGGGTACATGTGGCTGGTGTGAAGACGTACAAAAGAGCACCACGTGCCATCTCCAATCCATTCTGAAGACTAGGCAAACCTTTCGGATCTTGTGTTTTGAGGGCTTGGATGGCTGTGAGGTGTTCGGTTGGATTGCCACTCATGTCACTGACTCGGAGCGCGAGACCATCTCTCAATCCGAGGACACCAAGCTGGGAGATGGGATTTTGTTCAAAAAATTCTCTCACAAATTCCTGGGCATATCGGAGAGTCAACAAGTATCTCGTGGGTCGCAAGTCCTTCTCGGACATGGATTGTGAAAGGTCCAGAACTAAGATGAGATGTCGAATGATACCGCGCTGTAGTGGTGTCGTATCTTTCAAGAGCCTAGACGACCGATATACACTTCAGCAAGAATACCATGGACGCTATAAGGGGAAGAGACTGACCTTTTTCGTTTTCCAGCCTCTAACAGACCTTCGACGGTGGAGTTGATGGTACCATCTGCACCCTCCACCAATGTCTCCCAGGTTCTGGATAGCTCCCATTCTGCACCTCCGCGTTGCTTTCTTTTAGCTCGCGGATTATCGCCCCGAGTCACCTGTAAATCATCTTCATCTTCTGTTACCTCACCCACATATTCTTCGTCGGAGTCGGCCATGTTCGTACGTAAGAGTGGAGTGAGAAAAAGAGACACAAGAGAGGATCCAAACGGAAGACCGAGAATGGTCCAAGCTTCCGACGGAGCTCCGTAGGAGAATATCCTCTTCTATCTCTCACTCTTTTTTTTTTTTTCACCGAGTCGCAAATCGCAAGTCGCAATCCCTTTCAAACCACGGACTACTCCGTACGGAATACTTTTTTATTTTACTATTATTAATTTTTTTTGAAAATAGCTCCGACGATAGCCGTAGAAGGTTAAGCTAGAATCCCCCCCAATGTGGGGAAGAAGATCCATTTGTGCTGGCGTAGCAGTTCAAGTTCTCCGTCCAGTCACTGTCCGCCCTACCCCTCCTCTTCTTTCTCGCACACTACATAAACTTTCCATTTCGCATTCTCCTCGGCTGCGACCTCGACTGCCTACACCTGCTGCCACATTAGATCTGAGTTTCCCTCCCGTTAGGCATTGTTCCGCCGAAGTCCGCATGATGGCGTCTCAAGAACGAGAGACACTTCCTGACGTGTGAGTGATGCCCCGCTTGGTTTACCCTGTGCTCTTTTCCCCCTTCTCTTTCGTTTCCCACATTTGAGCTCTCGGTATCCTTCTGATTTACAGCATTGGGAACTAACATGACAATAGGGCTAAGCCTATCAACTACCACGTCTCTCTTTTCGACTTGCAGTTCGGTGGTTCATGGGAATACAAGGGCGCGTTGAAGATCGATCTCAAGGTCACCCGTGCTACTAGCGAGATTGTGCTGAACTCGAAGGAGATCGAAGTACAAAATGCTGAGATATTGGGGAAAGATGGTACGTGTGAGAGCATGTTATTCGGGTGATATGGAGGGAGGAGGGGGACAAAGCTAAACGAAGCTAATACCGGTCTTCTTGTCATAGGGAGCCAATTGGCCAAAGCATCCGGAATCACCTACGACAAGCAATCGGAGCGCGTTTCCCTCGCTTTCTCGCAGGAGATTGCGCCAGCAGACGTTGTACTTTCCATCAACTTTACGGGCACGATGAACAACGCCATGGCTGGCTTCTACCGCTCGAAGTATAAGCCCATCGGAGAGCCATCTGCTGACACCCCCAAGGAGGATGACTTTTACTACATGCTAAGCACTCAATTTGAGTCATGCGATGCACGAAGGGCATTCCCTTGTTTCGATGAGCCAAACTTGAAATCCACATTCGATTTCGAGATTGAAATCCCCAAGGGACAAACTGCACTGAGCAACATGCCTGTTCAGTCCGAAAGAGACGGAAGCAAGCCCGGTTTGAAATTTGTCACATTCGAGAAGACACCGGTGATGAGCACCTATCTTCTGGCCTGGGCAGTTGGTGACTTCGAATATGTTGAGGCTATGACCGAGCGCAAATACCAGGGCAAGAGCATTCCCGTTCGAGTTTACACCACTCGGGGCCTTCAAGACCAGGCTCGTTTTGCACTAGAATGTGCTCACCGCACGGTTGACTATTTCTCGGAAGTCTTCGAAATTGAATACCCCCTCCCCAAGGCTGATCTCCTGGCTGTTCACGAATTTGTGAGTGATATGTATTCCCTGTGAATTCCAAGCTTTTCATTTGAGCTAATTGCGGGTCTCTAGGCCATGGGTGCCATGGAGAACTGGGGTCTTGTGACCTATCGAACGACCGCTGTTCTCTTCGATGAAGGAAAGTCAGACAACCGCTACAAGAACCGCATTGCTTATGTTGTAGCTCACGGTCAGTCCCTATATTCATTCAATCCCTAGGTATCTAGGTGTCAACATAGCTTTGGTATCTGACTCAATTTATAGAGCTGGCTCACCAGTGGTTTGGCAACCTTGTCACCATGGACTGGTGGAATGAGTTGTGGCTGAATGAGGGATTCGCAACCTGGGTCGGTTGGCTTGCAGTTGATCATTTCTATCCTGGTGAGCTTTGTTCGCCTCTAGCCGATGAGCGTCTGACGCAGTATCTAATGTGCAGGCAGAGTGGAATGTCTGGTCTCAGTTTGTCGTACGGAATGCCCGAGGTAATATCCACCCTGTTAAGACCAATATTGACGTTCCCCCAGGCTGAAGGTGTGCAACAAGCATTTCACCTCGACTCGCTCCGCGCTTCCCACCCTATCGAAGTTCCCGTTCGGAACGCCCTCGAAGTCGACCAAATTTTTGACCATATTAGCTACCTGAAGGGAAGCTCTGTCATTCGCATGCTGAGTGTTCACCTCGGCAGGGAGACCTTTTTGCGTGGAGTTGCGGACTATCTTAAATCCCATGCATATGGTAAGGCGTCAAGGAAGAAAATTTGGGGGAACATCTGCTGAGTGGTTATAGGAAATGCAACCACAAATGACCTGTGGTCCGCGTTGAGCAAAGCTTCCGGTCAGGATGTGCATTCTTTCATGGTAAGTAAACACCCAACCCTTGGCTCTTGGTTGGGCTCTCTGTTTGGTCGATTCGAGATCTAACTGTTCTACCCTAGGATCCCTGGATTCGCAAGATCGGTTTCCCGGTTGTCACCGTGACAGAGGAGCCTGATCAGATTACCGTTAGCCAAAATCGATTCTTGTCTACCGGTGACGTGAAGCCAGAGGAGAATGAGACAAAATGGTGGATTCCTCTCGGCATCAAATCCGGCCCGGAACTGGCTACCGTCGACACCCGTGCTCTGACCTCAAAATCCGACACCGTTGGAGGAATCGGGGAGGACTCTTTCTACAAGATCAACAAGGACCTGTCTGGGTTCTACCGAACCAACTACCCTCCTCTGCATCTGGCAAAGCTGGGCCAGTCGCTTGATCTCCTGAGCACCGAGGACAAGATCGGTTTGCTGGGTGATGCAGCTGCGCTTGCAGTCTCAGGCGAGGGCACTACGCCCGCCTTGTTGACTCTTCTGGAAGGATTCAAGGACGAACAAAATTATCTGTGAGCAGCACCTCCTTATGGTCCTTTTCTGTCATTTCTGACCTCTCATCTTGCAGTGTTTGGTCCCAAGTATCTGCGTCCCTGGCGAACCTTCGGTCGGTTTTCTCACAAAACGAAAAAGTGGCCGAGGGGTTGAAACAGTTTACCCTTAAACTAGCTTCCCCAGCCGCAGAACGGATTGGCTGGGAGTTCAAGCCCGATGAGGACTACCTCATTGTGCAGCTTCGGAAGCTGCTCATTGCAATGGCCTGTAATGCGGGCCATGAAGGGTGAGATATTTCCCCTCGTCTCCGAATTCCGTTGAACCCTCTCTAATACAGTCTCGGTACTTCATAGATTTGTCTCGGAGGCCAAGCGCCGCTTTGACCTCTGGGCGACCGGAAAAGATACCAATGCCATTCATACTAATCTGCGGTCAGTGATTTTCAGCGTCAATGTGTCTGAGGGCGGCCGTAAGGAATACGATGCTGTCAAGGAAGAATATATCCGAACCGACTCTGTGGATGGTAAAGAGATCTGCCTGTCTGCCCTTGGACGCACAAAGGATGCTGTTCTGGTGAAAGACTACTTGAATTTCGTGTTTTCAGACAAGGTGGCTATCCAGGACATCCACAGTGGTGCCGTATCTCTGGCCGCCAACTCAAAAGTCCGGCATTTGCTATGGCAATACATCAAGGAGAACTGGACTGCTGTCGAAACACGACTATCATTCAACAATGTTGTGTTTGAGCGCTTTGTCCGTATGGGTCTATCAAAGTTCGCCGATCACCAGATCAGTGACGACATTGCGTCTTTCTTCAAGGACAAGGAAACAGGGGCCTATGACCGTGCACTCGTGATTGTCTCGGACAACATTCGAACCAATGCGTCCTATAAGGAGCGTGAGGAGGCGTCGGTTCTCGAATGGCTGCAGGCACACGGTTACGCATAAATGCGCATCTACGAGTTAGCTGTATGATTTTTTTTTAAACAATAATTATTCAATCAACCCGGTTTTTTTTTTTTTTTTTTTTCCTTTTCTTTTTTGGACCTTATTACAATGTAAAATGGGGATTCTAGATTCTAGATTCTTTAGATCATTGGTCCAGTACCCACGAGGCTGAGTTTATGCACGGGATAACAGCAGGTGATCTTGGTATGAGAAGTGGAATCAAGTATAGAATGCTCCTTGTGATAGATACATCTGTAAAAAGAGAAACATTATTCAAGAAGAGGCACATATATACAAAAGAAATAAACATAAAAATAAAGAAAATCTGAGAAGTGGTTGTGACGTGAAACAAAGCTGCGCATCAGGTGCGTCTGCCTCCCTGAACCTCCTATCATTTCAGGCGACTGTTCCATCATTGTCCCCTCCCCCCGACTTCATAGGAACTTCGACTCCATCAACTTGTTTTTTTCCGCCTTTATATTCCTCTGTACTTTTCTGTGCTCTAGCTCTGCTTTCATTTCACCTTCTTCTCTGCCTCCAAAGTCTCATCATGAATCCCGAGTGGTAAGCCTACCCCATTTCCCATCTCCCCCAAATTCCCTTCCAACTATGCGCCCTGCTTTGGTTGACTACACGAGCCTGCTTGTGTATTGAACTTGACTGATATGATGTTGATTTCTAGAGTATCGTCGCGTCGCTGATTTGACCGTCGCCCGACCCAAATTCGCAAACTTGCCGATCTCCGTTGCCTAACCATCGAGATAGATACGATTACCTTTTCAAGCTGCTCCTCATCGGTGACTCCGGTGTTGGAAAGTCTTGCTTGCTGCTTCGTTTTGCCGATGATACCTACACCGAAAGCTACATCTCGACAATCGGCGTTGACTTCGTACGTCTCGGAAGCTGCAGGGTATTTTGCCGCAAGAGAATAGCGGTACTGACATGTCATCATAGAAAATCCGCACAATCGAACTCGATGGCAAGACTGTGAAACTTCAAATCGTATGGCAATATGGAACTCCAAACACTTCAAAACAAGGCTAATAATACATACAGTGGGACACCGCCGGCCAAGAGCGATTCCGTACCATCACATCTTCCTACTACCGGGGCGCTCATGGAATTTGCGTGGTTTACGATGTCACCGACATGGATTCCTTCAACAACGTGAAGCAGTGGCTCCAGGAGATTGATCGGTACGCTACCGAGGGTGTTAACAAGCTGCTCGTTGGAAACAAGAGTGATATGGAGGACAAGAAGGTTGTGGAATACACTGTTGCTAAGGTATGTTTACGAAGAGACCCAGCGCCGTCCGGAAAGACTATTAACATGGGTTGATTCCACTTTTACAGGAGTTCGCTGATAGTCTCGGAATTCCTTTCCTCGAAACTTCGGCCAAGAACGCGTCGAATGTTGAGCAGGCATTCTTGACAATGGCACGACAGATCAAGGAACGCATGGGAACAGCCACTGTCAACAACAAGCCGACTGTGCAGGTTGGCCAGGGCCAGGGTGTCCAGTCCGGATCCGCAGGTGGCTGCTGCTAGACGACACGACGTTCTCTTTGTGTGGTGCGGTGCTTCACTTTGGTGCTTCACTTTGGCGCAATGTTACATCATGAATTGAGGGGGTTCAAGCGGCGTGGTATCTAATCGGCAGAAGTCAGGCTTGTCAGGTCTTTGGAAACTCGGCATGTTCCTGGCATAGTTCTGATGGGCAAGGAGAAGCTTCTCCACGCAGCTGGCAATCGTTATGATAATGCCGTTGGGGGTTCTCTCTTGCCTTGAATTCACTTTAGACGGTCTGCGTTCTATCCTCGTTTCTGCGTTTGCTTATGCGATTACCGCTCCGGTTTCTGCGTTCTGATGATTTCCTGGCCACGTCTCTGCTATATTACCTTGGCCCATCATTCTCTCTGTGTCTTTCCCCCCTCCCCTTCACCTTTCTATTTTCTATTTTCGCTTTTTTTTCTGTAGGTTGGATTTCTCACTTGTGAATGGAATAATAGCGAGAACCTTGTGACTTCTCGAGGCATACTGCCTTACATGGGGCTACTTTTTCTATTTTTTCTATTTTTCTATTCTACTATTCTTCTATTTTTTTTCCTGGTAAACCAGTACGTTGTATTATGTAGGCTATCCCCTGAATTAAATATAACGGTACATTAATATGCACTGTTAAGGTATCTAAGGAGGTCTATATAATCACATGCAAGTCACAGGTGCCGACTCCAAAATACGGGGGTAGTATAGATCATGATCAACACATATATATAGTTCACCTTGGAAGATACTACCTAGGTAGTCCGGAGATATTACTGATTCCGGTGTATTTGAATGTGACACATCTAAGTTACTTGATTAGAATTCAGGTACCGAGGACATTAAGAAATCTAAATCAAATTTAAGTACGGGGTACTCCGTAAATTAAAACCATACCTAGGTATATGTAAATAGATGTAAATAATCCCGTCCAAGGTGACTTACGCTATGGGCACTTCCAAGGTTCGGAATACAGTGGAGTTGGGTAAAAGAGCCGAGGTACACACTTCGGCAAAACGTCATGAACATCCCCTTCAAGCCGACCCATATGGTAAAGTTCTACACATTCTTAATCTGATATATTTCATCTTCTTCCGCTCTTTACAGGCTATACGTTACATCTGAGCACGGTTCAATAATCCGGCTTTTCCCATCATGTCTCAACCTGGAGCAGAGAGTAAGGCAGCATCTGCTGCTGTTCAGCAGAGTGATAACATCGCGCACGCGCTGGCAGGTGCGGGAGGGGGGGTTCTGTCGATGGTCTTGACGTATGATTCCCCGCGTTTTCCCCGTCGCTGCCGCTAACCCCATACCCACTTCAGATACCCTCTGATCACTTTATCGACAAGAGCCCAAGTCGAGTCGAAGCGTGCGCACTCGACCACCCTCGACGCCGTACGCCGCATTGTACAGCGAGAAGGTATCTCAGGACTATACTCCGGCCTGGAATCAGCCTTGTTTGGAATCAGCGTCACCAATTTTGTGTATTACTATTGGTATGAATTCACGCGTTCGGCCTTTGAGAAGGCCGCCATCCAGGGAGGCCGAGCCTCGAAAAAGCTCACGACCGTGGAGTCTATGATTGCGGGCGCCATTGCAGGGAGCGCCACAGTGCTGATCACCAACCCGATCTGGGTCATCAACACTCGCATGACTGCCCGCAAGTCTGAGGCAGAGGAAACATTGCCCGGTGCCAAGAAAACAAAGGCATCCACCTTCAGCACCCTAATGGACCTGCTTCGGCAGGAGGGCCCCAAGGCCCTATTTGCCGGCGTCCTCCCGGCGTTGGTTCTGGTGATCAACCCAATTCTGCAATACACTATTTTCGAGCAATTGAAAAACATGGTGGAGCGCCGCCGGCGTATGACACCGAAGGATGCGTTCTACTTGGGCGCACTAGGCAAAATCATGGCCACCAGCCTCACGTACCCATATATCACCATCAAGAGCCGGGCACATGTCGCCAGTAGGGATGGCCCCAAGGAGAGCCTGAACGGAAGTCTGAAGAGGATTATTCGGGAAGAAGGCTGGACGGGGCTCTACAAAGGTAAGTGATTTTCAGGAAATCATACCTGGTGGCTGTTCACTGACATATTTTTCCATAAGGCATTGGACCCAAGGTCACCCAGAGCGCCATCACTGCTGCATTCCTTTTTGCGTTCAAGGATGTGCTGTATGATATGATGGTGTCTGCCCGTAGAAAGGGCCGCATTGCTAAATAGACAGGAAATGTTTTCCAGTCTACCAGACCTATGTGACAGCTCATATGGTCACGCTTTCAGAAGAGATAAGATTGGGATTCTCAATGTCCACCATGTATACTTGTTCGAGTGCAAGAAATGCGAGTGTACGGAGGTGCTGACTTTGATTTCACTTTCCCACTATCAAGAATGACTTGGTGAAGTTTTTTTTTTGGAAGCTCTTGGGAGCTTTCGGGAGCTATTTTAAAACGATACCCAGGTACTTTGCAAATATGTAGTTTATTTAGTTATTTTACTTGAAATCCACTCAATCCACTCAATCCACTCAATCCACTCTTATACTTAATCATACTTGAGACCTGACCGCCTTACTTTAGGTTCACCGCCCGTCCTGTTACCCGCGTTATCGCGTTCTCGACGCGATTCTGCTCCATTTCTCCACACTTTCCCCTGTATCTTCGGCAATCTGGGCAATCTGGGCAATCTGGGCAATCTTGGATTTTGCGCATTGATTCCCCTGCTCCTCTCCCCTGCAATCTCTCTTTGGAGTTTCTATACATCTCCTAGGTATACTTCTCTCAGTTCCTTTAGACGGGAAACCCTCCTAATGCATAACAGATCCAAGCTTGCCTATCCGTTGTCGCATCACCTTTGTGACCCTCTTACTCTCGACTTGGAAGAACTGCGCTCCCTACAGATGTTATCCACCCTGCCCATTCCGAAACAATATCTTGAACGACTGTATTGCCTATAATTCAGCTTTCATAGGGTTGTCAAGGCTACACCAGGACAATCCTTTTTTCTTCTAGCAAAGCCATCCAAAGACATAAGCTTGATTTTGCCAAAGAAAGGAACAGAATAAGGTCTAAGGGATCGACGATCGACGGGTTGGAAGGCAATAACGGAAACCCCAGGTTCAGTGTGAACAAGGTGAGAGCGAGGGGCCGATGTTATGTCTTTCTCACTTTGCGATCGTCCGACACCAGACGTGACTGAGCCCAAATTCATATCACTCAAGTCAAACATGTGAGACAACGCTCTTTTTATTTTGATTATTCATATCTGACATTTTTTTTCTTCTCTCTAGCTCGGAACATTAGCTGTGGTACTAAAATGTCTCGGGGCTTTTCCAGTCTTAATGGCCAGGGTATTGTCCCTGCATTCCCTGGTCTGTCGGCTCGAAGCATCCCGGAAAACCCAGATATTCAACGTGAGACTCTCCGTTTGCTAGTGCAGTATTCGAGGGTGTCCTCTCTGACAGAGAATCCCTCAACTCCGACCACTTCTGACCATACGAGAGAGAAGGCCCGAGATGCCTGGCAGACTCCGCGGGCTGAAGTCCAGCCTAGTGAGCCGTCGCCTCGATTCAAGCGTTCATCAAGTAGCAGCCATGCCACTCAACCTTCTCCTTCTCGCTCTATCGATCCTTCCTCTGGCAGTCCAATAATCCGGGTTTCCCCTCGCACATCTTCCCGCGCTTCCTCCCGCGCATCTTCCCGACTTACATCTCCTCAACCCGTCTCTATCTCTGTCTCTTCCTCATATGGTATCTCTCCCAGTCATCGTGAGCGCCAACGGACGCTTAGGGAGAGCGTGGCCATCTCAAATACCAATAGAAAGGATGAAATTGTTGCTCCTATATCAAAGCAGCACATCTCTTACCCACCAGGCAACATGTCATCTGTCTCCATGTCATCTCACCCCTCGCGGTCAATATCCCCGACTGCCGAACAAAGTTCCATTCGTCGTTCTAGTCGAAATAGAGTCCAACCAACAAACTACTACGCCAATCCTTGGGTTAACGTTTCCGTTGACTCCAAAGAGCCCGACACAAATGTCGAAACTATTTTGGACACCGTGGTGTCTTCCCCACAGGAGCCGTGTCGCGTTTTGCCCCGTCGTGCAAACGTCCAAAAGATGCTGTACGGCCGTGAGCTTGGAGGCGGAAACCATCGGCCCATTATCACCGATGTGGTTTCGGACCTGAGACCATGGAAATCATGGCAAGGTGCTTCAGGGGATCTGCTTGTTCTAGCTTGGTCGCCTGATGGTACTCGGTTTGCGGCAGGCGCCGCAGCTAAATCAGACGAACATAATATGCAGTACAACAAGGCCAACAATCTTCTCTTAGGCGATCTCCAGAGCAATCGTCTAAAGGAAATACCGGACCATTGGATTCCACGTCCAACATCGTCAACAGTTGATGATCCCCGGCTTTTCATGAGCGTCAATAACATGCAGTGGATTGGCAACAGACTCTATACCGCTAGTTTTGACAAAACTGTCAAAATTTGGGACGTGGAATCAATCCACGACGTGTCCTGTACCCATACCTTGCAGCATGAGTCTCGAGTGGCAGTGATGTCCGTGTCGAGATTTAGCCCGCATATCTTGGCTACAGGAACAGAATCGATTTTGGTTTGGAACACAAAAGATCCGGAAAATTTGACTTCAACTCTCCTTCCCTTCGACCGCGATGCGCGGTATAAGTCCAAATTTGAGTTCTCATCGACGGCCCTGGCCTGGGGCCATACCCCGTCGACTGAGGAATACTTAGCCGGAGGTCTGGCCGAACCAGGGGAGGACCCAATATACAAAGGCCACTTAGGCCTGTGGCGAGCCCGTGAATCCGCATATGAGACCATCAGGATGTCTTCCAACTCACAAAATGTCTTCGACATTAAATGGCACTCTTCGTTGCCCATATTTGCAACGGCCAGTCCCGAGGACCCTCACAACGCGCGCATTAAAGGGATTGGCATTACCACGAAATCAATTGTGAGGGTGTTTAGCCTCAACCATGACCTCCAAAAACGTGTGCCGTCTGTGATGGAATTTTCCTGCCCGGCATTGGATGTCAATGAGGTCAGCTTTTGTCCAATGGATTCAAACAGCACATATGTGACCGCTAGTTGCACAGATGGTAAAACCTATGTCTGGGATAATCGGAAAGGTGATAAAATTCTCCACGAACTTCGCCATAGGGCCCCCCTTAACCCCATTGATCACCAGCGAAGCCGGGAAACGGCAGATGTGGGTGTTAGAGTAGCTCTCTGGGGTTCTTCTATGGACCAATTTTATACCGGTGCCTCCGATGGCGTTCTTAAACGATGGGACATTCGCCGGTCACCCGAAGATGTCCTCGTTGAGGATGTCGCAGCTTTCGACGAGGAGATTATGTGTGCAGCCTTCACCGATGATCATTCTCATCTCCTTGTCGGGGGTTCTGGGGGAGGCGTGCATGTACTATCATCAGGTCCTTGTTCGGACCCTAACATAAAAACTTTCGAATTCGAACACGCCCCAGAACCCGGGAAGCCGAGTGATAGTGGCATCTTTGTGGGAAACCAGCTCCTCCTATCTGGCCAGCTTGTCAAGCACGAAACGTTTGGTATGGGTCAAGGGCCCCGTTACACTGGGCCTTTTGCCTCGTGGGCTAGGAATGTCAAGAAAGATGTTTCTTCTGACCGAATTGGGCAGCTCCCTTTGCTCAAGAAATACCAGAGCCAACAGTTGGATGGTCCACCACCGGAAGATCGTCATGAACTGGACTCAAACCAACGACGAGAGGTTGGAAGACAAATACAACTTGCGGAAATACGAAATCGAGGATTCCACGCGAGAAAACGCCAGGAGCATAATGATCCTTCTACATCCATCTTCCAGGGCTCTGTATCCTTGTCTTCCCTTGGCTCTTCCCCGGCAGGGAAGAAGAGGAAGAAAAAAGCCGAAAAAATGGAAGTGAAAAAGGTGAAAATGGAAGGAGATAAAGAGGAGAATGGAGACGAGAAGGAGGATTGTGGAGGGAATGGAGAAGACAACAAAGAAGGGAAAGCCAAAAAGAAATCTCGGATGAAAAAGAAGGCTCGCAGGCTCTCCCGTCGGATAATCACCAACACTGAAAACGTCGACCTGACTCTCCTGGACTCAGATACGGAGATGGGGACGCCACACCGGCAGCGGTTTGACCTTGGGGAACTACTTGAGCGTCTTGAGGAAGATAACTGGTTCCCAGCTAGTGGAGAAATCGATCCTAACATCCAAAAGGAGATTGTCTAAGGGGATGCCTTTCTCAACAGTGGTGACTGCATTTTGCATAGCATTGAAGCGTGGAGTTCTGATTTGGTTTTTTATCTTAAAAAAATTCACGTTGCAGCGAAAGAGCTATTAATGATATCTGTGGATGTTAATTTGTAGAAGAACATAACCGATAGGCTGAAATCTTTGAATGTGGTAGCCTGTAGAACTGTAGATCTATAGATTACATATGTACCTAGAACCTAGGTAACTAACTATAACTATATGTGTTATGATGGTTAATGTTACTATATATGGCCTTTATATATGGTGACATCAGGGCACCGCCACCGACCTTGGGAGGCGCAGCCAGTATGCCTGAGGCCACAATTCTCCGCTTACTTCCCGAGTATATATCCATGAACTAAGCACTCCTCTTACTCTCTTACCCTCTCACTCTCTTACTCTCTTACTCTCATATACACACTCTCACTTTCTCTTGTCCTCATTTAAACTTAACCCTTTGATCACTCCCACAATACAGGCTTACAGACTTGCAACCTATTGAAGTTAATCATACCTATCACATCATGTCGTTCGCCCCGCCTTCGGGGCCTCCCCCGCCCTCGGTACCTGAGGGATGGAAAGCGCAGTACGACGATCGTTACCACGCTTGGTGTGTATTTACTCATCTCAATAAAGACCAAATACCAAAGTACTCTGTACTGACAATCAGCTAGGTTCTATGTGGACCTTGCTACGGGCAAATCGCAATGGGACCGCCCCGAAGCCCCCCCACCGCGCGGTGATGGTGATTTTCCAACCAATCCTCCCCCGCCATCATACAGCAATGCCGGGCCTGGCGACCCAGCAGCACTAGCCAGTGCAGGAGACCAGAAGCAACATATGGGATCAAATAACCCCTACAACCCGTCAGCAAATACTGGCCCAGGCAACGCCAGCCCTCACATGATCGACGAAGACGCAAAGCTTGCTGCCAAGCTCCAAGCCGAGGAAGATGCCCGGGCTGGTATACGAGGAACTGGAGCCGGACCAGGAGAACGTGGCGCCTCATCAGACTACTACAACAATGCCTCGCGGCCGCAGTCCACCGGCCCAGGGGGATATGCGGCGGGCTCAGCATCGCACAGCCCGATGCCTGAGCAGGAACAGAAGCGCAGCAAGGGTGGATTTTTGAGCAAGCTGATGGGCAAGAGTTCAAGCAGCAGGCCACCTCGGCCGCAGCAACAATACCCCTCGTATGCCCAGCAAGGTCCTCCCCCTGGTGCATACTACGGTGGTGGCTATCCTCCGCAGCATGGTCCCCAGCCTGGATATGGAGGTGGATATGGAGGTGGATATGGAGGTGGATACGGAGGATACCCGCAGCAGGGTGGATATTACCAGCAGCAACCGCCTCGCAGACAGGGTGGAGGAGGTATGGGGACTGCCGGTGCCGCTGCTTTGGGTGTTGGTGGCGGTTTACTTGGCGGTATGCTGATTGCTGATGCTATCGATGATCATCATGACAACGACGATTACGGCGGCGGCGGCGATGATTATGGTGGTGGTGATGACTTTGGAGGAGGGGACTTCTAAGCCCGGTTGGGTTTCGATTTCTTTGACTGTTCTGCTCTTTTCTTCTTTGGTTTGTTACTAGGATGGACTTCGGGATAAGGGACAGGTCTCTGTACAGCTCGAGGGACTTCTAGGCGTTTTGAGATCGGGAGGGATTTGGGAGGATTGCTTTTGTTTCGCCTAATCGGCCCTAGTCATTTATTGGCATTTGGCTTCAATTTCATGAGCCAAGAGCAGCTTTAGTTGGCTTTGTATCATACAATTAGCCATGAGACAATGACAAGATACCATGTCAAGAACGGTCAATATAATGAAGTAATAATCTTCTATGTGCGCCTCCGGGCAGGACCACTGGTATCTCTACCAGTTGAACCAGCCTGGGCCGCATCGTTGGCCGTGGGGCTAGGGGTACCTGTGCCCGCCATCCAGCTGGCCAGATCAAACCCACCACCAGCCATGGCATTGGCAGTGGCACCGGTGATAGGCGAGGAGCGAGAATGCTGCTCAAACTCGGCGCGCATCTCAGGATCCACTAGACAACAGAGTTAGGCCCCGAATATTTAATTAGGGTTATGGGGGATAGGCCTACTGTTATCCATGAGTTTGGGCATGACAAACATGAGACCCAGGGCGACAACTGCAAGCAAGACCATTGGGTTCTTGACTAGACTCAAGGGAGAGACTGCAATTCAATGCAAGGTTAGTACAGCAATAGGCATTTACTGCAGGTTGTATCAATGGGGGAAGAGGGGGATAAGCTCACATTGAGCACGCTGCTCATAGAAGACCTTCCGTCCAAGAACCTTGGCCTCGACAACCACATCAACCTGCTTCTTTCCAGCAACATCCACGATATATTTCTCTGCACCACGGTTATCCCATGGGTTCCCGCGGAAAGTCTCCCATATACCAAGAATGGATCCATCGGCCGCAACATCGACGCGGTAGGGGGCGAAGACGTAGTCGCCAGCAGAGCGAATATCAAGCAAGTAAGACTCGGGTTGAGCATCTGAACTCGAGGATGGAAGATCATGGAACACAAATGTCGCCGAGCGTGTCAGCGATGCGAAAAGGATGTGGTCTTTCCCACCAGAGGGGAGAGTGGTGAGAGTGGCATGGGTAGTTGCGGGGAGGACATGTGGGTTTGGAAGCGGACTAGAGACAGGGATAGTGATTGTCAAAGAGCTGGCAGATACCAGACTACTGATCCCTAGCAGGAGAAGAGAGGGGAGTGAAAAATGCATGGCTGAGATGTGTTGCTGTGGAAGACCAAGGTTCATGGGTTCCGATCAGCAAAGCAGTGTCAGTATCACGTGATGAATATCTTCTCCAGCTCTTGTGGATGTACAACCTACAAGCATCTACAAATCACCGAAACCAACATCTTGTCTTCCCCCCTTCCCAACACAGAGCATCATGCCTGTCTACCTTATTTCCAGGTACAAAATAGTCCACAATATTCTGGGGGCTGTATCCAACAAGAGAGACCCCATCATTCTAACACATATGAATAGGATCGCAGATCCCCTCTTCGCCATGACCATGGGCGTCTCTGCTGCCCTCACCCGCATCCGCCGTGACCAGCGCGAACAGCACCCCGAACGCGCATCGGAAATCACATACGGAAGTATCGTACAAACGAGCGGGCGTCGGTTACAACGGTGGTGGAACGGAGACTTCCAAGATGTTTAAACGGAACTTGTGATACCTCAGTTTGGAGTTTTGGTTTGAGAGATTCCCCAAAAGAGAATTAAACTTAATATTGGTTCTTGAATATTTGTATTCTATTTGTACATATTTACATACACGAACTGGACGTCATAATTATATGGAATGGTCATCCTCTACCCTTGCGCGGTTCTAAGGGGGATGCAATGCTTGTATAGCTTCAATTTAGTACAAGTCTAGAGGTCTTACTTAAATGAGGTGGTCTCATTAGTTATGATCTAAAATCTACAGAAAAAGAGTGGTTTGAATTAAGAAAGAATTTTGATTCACTAGGATTTTTCTCCCAAGAAAAAGAGATAACCTTGTATCTATGCAATCATGCGCAAAAAGGAAACCTTGATACCCCATAAGTTCGTAAAACAAGACGTGAAAGGAAACGAGTGCCAAACGGCTAAGAAAGAATCATTCAGAGCGAAACATTTAGTCAAGCTCCTCGGGCTTCTCCTCAACCTCGTCAGCGGAGCGAGCGCCACCCTCGGGGGCACCGGCGCCAGGGGGAGCCTGGCCACCGTAGGCAGCGGAGATGATGGGGTTGGCAACAGCCTCGAGCTCCTTCTGCTGGGACTCGTACTCGTCCTTCTCAGCAGTCTGGTTGCTGTCGAGCCAGCCGATGACCTCGTTGATCTTGTCCTCGACCTTCTTCTTGTCATCCTCGGAGATCTGGAGCTTACCCTCGGAGAGAGTGTTCTTGAGGGAGTAGGCGTAGGACTCAAGACCGTTCTTGGCCTGGATGCGGGCAGACTCAAGCTCGTCCTCCTCCTTGTACTTCTCAGCCTCGGAAAGCATGCGCTCGATCTCCTCCTTGGAGAGACGGCCCTTGTCGTTGGTGATGGTAATCTTGTTGGACTTTCCGGTACCCTTCTCGAGGGCGGAGACGTTCATGATACCGTTGGCATCAACATCGAAGGTGACCTCAACCTGGGGAACACCACGGGGGGGCAGGGGGAATGCCAGTGAGCTCGAACTTTCCGAGGAGGTTGTTGTCCTTAGTGCGAGCACGCTCACCCTCGAAGACCTGGATCAGGACACCGGGCTGGTTGTCGGAGTAGGTGGAGAAGGTCTCGGACTTCTTGGTGGGGATGGTGGTGTTGCGCTTGATCAGAGGAGTCATGACACCACCAGCGGTCTCAATACCGAGGGAAAGAGGAGCGACATCGAGAAGCAGGATCTCGTTGGTGGACTTGGAAGACTGGTCACCGGACAGGATAGCGGCCTGGACAGCGGCACCGTAGGCAACGGCCTCATCGGGGTTGATGGACTTGTTGGCGTCCTTGTTGAAGAAATCGGAGACGAGCTTCTGGATCTTGGGGATACGGGTAGAACCACCGACGAGGACAATCTCGTGAACGGAGGACTTGTCAATCTTGGCGTCACGGAGGACACGCTCAACAGGCTCCATGGTACCGCGGAAGAGGTCCTGGCAGAGCTCCTCGAAACGGGCACGGGTGATGGAGGTGTAGAAGTCAACACCCTCGAAGAGAGAGTCGATCTCGATGGAGGTCTGGGCAGCGGAAGAGAGGGTGCGCTTGGCACGCTCGCAAGCGGTGCGGAGACGACGGAGAGCACGGGCGTTGGTGGTCAGATCCTTCTTGTGCTTGCGCTTGAACTCGTTGACGAAGTGGTTGACCAGACGGTTGTCGAAGTCCTCACCACCCAAGTGAGTGTCACCGGCAGTGGCCTTGACCTCGAAGATACCCTCCTCGATAGTCAGGAGAGAAACATCGAAGGTACCACCACCAAGATCGAAGATCAGAACGTTGCGCTCACCCTCGACCTTCTTGTCAAGACCGTAAGCAATGGCAGCGGCAGTGGGCTCGTTGATGATACGGAGGACGTTGAGACCGGCAATGAGACCGGCGTCCTTGGTAGCCTGACGCTGAGAGTCGTTGAAGTAGGCGGGGACAGTGATGACAGCGTTGTTGACGGTGCCACCGAGGTAAGCCTCGGCGGTCTCACGCATCTTGACGAGGATCATGGCAGAGATCTCCTCAGGGGTGAACTGCTTGGCCTCACCCTTGAATTCAACCTCGATGACGGGCTTGGTAGCCTTCTCGACGATCTTGAAGGGCCAGTGCTTCATATCGGCCTGGACCTCAGCATCCTGGAAACGGCGACCAATGAGACGCTTGGCGTCGAAGACAGTGTTGTGGGGGTTCATGGCGACTTGGTTCTTGGCGGCATCACCGATGAGACGCTCGGTGTCGGTGAAACCGACGAACGAGGGAGTGGTGCGGTTACCCTGGTCGTTGGCAATGATTTCAATGCGGTCATCACGGAAGACACCCACACAGGAGTAGGTGGTTCCCAGATCAATACCGACGGCGGGAGCCATGGTGAATGTGTGTAATCGTTAAAATGAAAAAAGAAGTGGGGTGTGTAGAAAGAGATTCGTGAGTCAAGAGGGTAGGTAGTATACAGAGAGGAAGAGGGTATTTGATAGTGAAGAAAAGAAGAAAGAGGAAGGGGACGAGGGCTGAGAAAAGCTCCTATATAGTGAGCGGTGTATTACTCCAGAAGCTTCTAGAGGGAGCCTTCCATGGGGATCCATGAGATTCCACGAGATTCGATGACCCAGCAACCACCTCATTACGTTCTTCATTAAGACTCTCGTAGGTTCCAGATGAGCCTAGTGGAGTCTTGAAGTTGACGAATTACTTGATTCTCTCTAGAATTATTGTCAACGATGTCAATTCCTACTTTTTTACTTTGATTCATGTTTTTCTTTGACGTTCTCTTTTTTTTTTTGGCGGGGCTGTATGATGTAATAGTGGGATGACTCTTAAGGCGGTGTCAGATTATGGTATTTAAACAAGATCAATACCGAATCCAATACAGGATTAATACCCGTCGCCATGGGAGACCCCGTTTGATTTATGTGTTTTTTGGGGGGTGAGGTACATACATATGCACACACATGTATACAATAAGGATGTATATATATGTATTATTGGTAATGGTATGGTCAATTATGAATACGTCATGGTGAATTCATGACCTATGACCCCATCCAACTTATACCTTACACCTTACACCTATCACCCTTGGAAGTATGTACAAAAGTACCTAGCTAGGTAACAACCTTGGAATTGACTCCGGGTATCCATGGACCATGGATGTCATCCAGTTATCCACCCGTGGGCACCTGGAGTGGTTTGTGCGGACTTCGGAATTCGGAGGGAGTGTTTCTCCGTAGCGCAATTCCTGAACTCATATTATGTAACCCTTCCTAGCCCCGGAATCGGAAATATATTTATCCATATCATCTCCTGAGGCAGAAACTACATTTCGCACTTTCGGTGAATATCTTCACAATCCTTCTATTCTTTTCATCTATCATCTCTTTATATGCAACCACTAACTAGACCATAAGGATTATTTGTCTCAGATAAGAACAGATATAACCCTATATACTTACATATTTACTCCGTACATCTGTTAGTATTCTCATATACTCCATACTCCATAAAATAAAAAGTCAAGAACCTTGGAACAACCCTCGGATTCCCCTGCCAAGAGCCCAATATATTATATATTGTATACTGTACTCCGTTCACAACCGTAATCCGATGTTGTACGGAGTAGTCCACCATACTCCGGAGGATAGCTACCTAGGTACATGTGTGTCCTTAGTCTCCAAAATTTAGACAAATCGGAGCCAACCCGGAGAAACTAACATTTTCTCTTATTTCTTATTTACCCCTACAACATAAGCCTGACGGGGAAAATAAGAAAGAAAAAAAAAAAAAAGGCCGAGCCAAGCCGGGCTTGCGCCATCCGCGCTAAGCATTGATGTTTAACCTTGTACGGAGGAAATGTAACCTTGAAACATGGGCATTATCTTAAACTTGTCCAATCGGGCGTTGTCTGATGGGAAAATGGCGAATATTTACTCCAGTCGCACACAATGAGGGACATTTCTAAACCGTACTAGTTTTCTACCTTAAAAACATCAATATATACTTCATATTTTATCTTGCCTTCTATCTGGATTCCGCTAGAATCCTCTCTAAAAACCCCTCGCCATGTTCGCTGGACTGAAGCGCAAGGGGCCCGGGGACCAACCTACCAAGGTCAAAATAGAGGAAGACACTATGGGGCTAGAAGGTTCAGAACTTTCTGCCAAAAACCCAGAGGTGGCAGAGACCGGGGTGGATGAGGAGAACCTCCATTTTAAGGGGGAAACAGCCGCTATTGAACAAGAGACACACGATAACCCCGAGATTGCGGCATTGCCCATGTCTGTGAGACATCTGATCAACTTGACCGATGACCCCAGCTTACCGACAATCACCTTCCGTTACTTTGTGCTTTCGGTCATCTTTGTTATCCCTGGAGCCTTTCTGTCGCAGATGAGCTACTTCCGCACAACCAAGGCACCATACTCCATCTTCTTTGTTCAAATTGCCTGTCACTATGCCGGTCACTTTATGGCCAGAGTCCTTCCCGACTGGAAGATTGGGCTACCTGGTACTCGCTTTTCTTTTAGCCTGAACCCGGCCCCATGGAGCATCAAGGAGCATGTCTTGGTCACACTGACTGCAGCTTCGGGGGCTACGTACAACATGGGGTATGCTCCCATCGTCCTCGCAGAGCTTTGGTACGGCACACGCGTCAATCCAGCAGTTGCCATTTTCTTCATGCTTTCAATCGTATGGATTGGCTACTCCTTTGCTGCTCTGGCCCGACAAATCCTTTTGCCTGACCCAGAGTACATCTGGCCCCAAGCTTTGATGCAGACCACATTGTTCGAAACTTTCCGCAAGACAGACAACTCATCGGCTCTCGCTCGGCGCCAGATGAAGGTGTTCTTCTTCGCGTTTCTAGGGATGACCATGTGGCAATTCCTGCCAGAGTATGTTTTCCCATTCACCTCGTCCCTAGCCTTCCTCTGCTGGGTGGCACCTCGCAATCCGGTGGCCAATTTCATTGGCTCAGGGATTGGTGGCATGGGATTCCTCAATCTCTCGTTAGATTGGTCAAATGTGAACTGGAATGGATCCTCAATCATGACGACCCCATACTGGACGCAGGTCATCTTGTTCTTGGCATTTGCTTTCAATTGTTGGGTCCTACTTCCTGCAGCGAAGTGGGGGAATCTAGGTTCCTTCAAGCATGGACTCATGTCAAACAGCCTTTTCCTAGGAAATGGTACAACCTACCCAACCCTCGACGTACTCACCCCAGACTATCACCTGAACGTGACCGCTTATGAGGAGTATGGACCGATGTATATGGGCTTGCAAAATGTGTGGGCAACATTTTTCGACTACGCCAAACTACCAGCAGCGGTCACTTGGATCTTGACATTTGGATACGCACAGGTTTCCGGGAATGTCCGAAGAATCTGGTCATCTCGCACAGCTGAGAAATCCCCCAAGAACGAAAGCATTCATCACCAGTACCACGACCGCCTCAACGTTATCCAGAGACAGTACAAAGATATTCCATGGTGGTGGTATGGGATTCTATTCTCGGTAGCCTTTGTCATTCTGATCATATTCCTCGCACTCGGACATCTCTTCATTCCAATCTGGACCTTGTTTGTGGCCCTTGCGAGTGCTGCTGTCCTGGTCATCCCGTTTGCTTGGCTTTACGCTATCTCCAACTACCAGCTTGAGACGGGCTCTTTCAACGAACTCATGTATGGCTACATGGTTCACACTAAAGCCGGCGAGGCCCACCAACACCCCTGTGGTCCTTCTGTTTATGGGGCTATTGCGGGTGACGCCTGGTATCGTGCACAATATATGCTCCAGGACCAAAAGATTGGCCACTACATGCACATTCCACCCCGCACGGTTTTCTTCTCTCAAATTTTCGGCACTTGTATGGGTGTTCCAATCAACTATGCTGTCATTCGTTGGATCATGGACACCAAAGGAGATTATCTGACTGGCAAGAAAACAGATCCACTGAATCAATGGACAGGACAGTCCCTACGGACCTCTAACACCATGGGGGTTCAGTACGCTGTGCTTGGTCCGAAGAGGCTTTTTGCTGAGACCGAAATGGCTGTGCTTCCCTGGTCATTCCTTATAGGGGCGGTCATTCCTCCTATTCTCTTCTGTTTCCACCGATTTTTCCCCCGGCTTCGGATTGACCTGTGGAACATTAGTATCTTTTTTGGAGGACTGGCGATGTTCTACGGTAACATCAGTACTGGTTACACATCTGCCATTATTGGTGGATATGTTGTAATGTATTGGGCTTACCGTCACCATTTTGAGGTCTGGAAGCGGTATAATTACCTGGTTGCTGCTGCGTTTGATGCTGGATTTAACCTCAACATGTTGCTTGTCTTCTTCTTTTTCGGAGCAGGCAAGCAAATTTCGATGCCAAAATGGTGGGGCAATAATGCAACCTCTGTGGAGAGATGCTTCGCTCTTGACAGCTGATTTGCTTTTATGATTTGGAAAACGAACAGTTGATATTATGAGTTCTAATACAAAAGTTGACACATTTTTTTTAATACTTCACAAATGCAGGCAGAAGAAGCGTCCTAGTATGTTGTAATATTGTTTGATGGCCTGGAGCTAACACTTGTCCATATAAACATGTTAGACAGGATTATCTTGCTGTGTAGGTAAATTTTTCCATAGTTTGCTCTTTGATTTCATTTTGATTCCATTGAGTTCCTTTTCAGTTGATATAATACTTCCAAGATTCCAAGATTGTCCTTGATGCCTCAGGGCAAGATTTGTCACGGGGCTTGATCACCCGCGACAGCCAATCAGGCGGCGAGGTCACCCTTACATGTTGTTTTGGTTCGAGGGGGAAGACCTTACTTTGCAGACCGTCTTTTAAATTCCCCTTGCCCCCTTTCCACCAACCATCCATCCTACAATTCTCCATCCACTCTAAATAAAACCTCATTATGGCTGACCAGGCGACTATTTCCAACTCCAACGAGCAAGCCTTCGCCAAGGGCAAGGGCAAGGCTGACCCCACGCAAGATATGAGCATGGACGAGGAGAGCGAGTCGGAGAGCGAGAACGAGATCGTGAGTCTATAATTTACACCTCCATCTACTTATTTTATACTGACTTTGCTTGCGTGTTCCTAGGCTGACAATGGTGTGTACCCCCACCATAACCCCCCCCAAGTAACCCATGTTTGAATGACAACATGCGCCAGAATGACCATCAATTGCCTCCAAACTGACCCTTTCTGCTCCTAGACGAAGATGATGACACACAAGACAATCTCAACGACCCTATCGACCAGAGCAACATCATTCAGGGTGGCCGACGCACACGCGGCAAGGTCATTGACTACTCTAAGATCTCCACTGATGAGATGGAGGATGATGAGGATGATGATGAGGAATACCAGGCCCGCGAGGACAACGAGACCAACGATGATGATCAGATGCGCGACTAGGCTCGACAAATACAAAACTTCCGGGTGGCATGGAATTGCTTTGAACTATAGGCGCCGCAGATCGGTCCACGATGTTTTTCTTTTTCCTTTTTTTTTGCGTGTGTCCATAAGATGTCTCGCGATTCTGTGATGACAATGAATCAACGACTATCTCTTTCGAATTTCCATTTTCAACCCTGTTGATATACACTTAATGCATTGACTATGGGTTGGCCGATGTTCATTCTATGATGTAATTTGTAGACCAAATAAATTCTTCTAGGGTCTAAGTTGAAAACAAGTGTTGATTTTTCCCCCATTATATTCCATCATAATAAATCCCGGAATGACCAAATTGACAATAAACAGATGCCCATGCGAACCGCAACTGTTGTGTGCCTTGTGTATCGATTTTCAGTATTTCCAACTTTGGAAGGTTGGGCTATCACGTGTTGTTCAGCGAATGACAACGCTATGGCCACCTCGATGTTTTTATCTCCGCAAACATCGAGGACTCGAACAGTGATCGACTTGGATTTTGACCCTTGGGAAATGCTCGATTGCCGTTGAACAAATTATCTGCAGTTCATGTGCCTCCTCTTCTTCTGTCGCGAACTCTAACTACATCCCACGACCGTCATGGCTTCACGGTATAGTTCCACCGTTAATTTCTCGGTTCATTATAGGGTGTCCTTCAGCTAATGCAGCAGCGATCTAAATAGATTTCCTCGTCAACGTGATCCCCGCGCCTCTTCATCTCTCTTCGATCAATACGGTGGTGACTCCCGCCAAGCTAGCAGATCGCCTGCCCAACAACCAGGTGGATACGGGTACGGAGGTTACTCCAGTCCAGCACCTAATGGTTATGCGAGTAGCGGTCCCGCTGGAGCAGGATATCAGAGTGCATCGCCGGATAAAAAGTGCGTTGAGTGGTTCATAACCCTTTTGAGATCGCTCGCCATTCTTCCGACGATGTATGTATACTAACCAAGGCTTTGCTATAGGGGACACTACTCCGATGCAGTTCTCTCGTCTCTCGAGTCACAAAATGACGCTGAGGTAGAGGGTATCAGCGCCAAGGTCAAGATGTTGAAGGATGTAAGAAGCCTCGCACTCAAACTTCCAGGCCCAACGAAAACAGGTAGTCGTTCGAAATAACAAACCGCTGACGGGGAAACCTCATTTAGATCACAATTGCAATTGGCGATGAAATACGAGATACCACACACATTACTGACCTCAATGATTCATTCGATAACACTCGAGTCCGACTCCGCGGGAATATGAACCGTATGCTTCGCATGGCTGAGAGCACCGGCGTCGGCTGGCGAGTCTGGCTCGGCTTCTTTTTCGCTGTCTTCCTCCTGTTCTTCTATGTGTGGATATTCTGAACGTATACCCTTGATGTCTCTCTGAGACGTGCCTTCGCGCTCTATACCATCTCGACCACGCCCGCCTTTGTCGCCTTTGTCGCCTTTCTCGCCTTTATCATCTTTAATCTCCCGTCTTCACGCAAAACCCAGCGACTTGCTCCTTTACTCCGTCTCATATGGATCGAATTACGCACATTACTTATCAGTATCTTCAGCATGGGAATCTTGGCTTTGGCGTTATGAGGTGTTCTGGGGTTTATGGATTCTTTGAGCTATGTATATGCAAAACCCCGGCCATTGGGTCAGATGTCGGCTACGTACTGATTTCTGGATCGGCGCGTTGGGGGTCTGCCTGGCATTTATCCCCGGGGACAATTCAGGAAAGTTGTCCAATGTGATTTGATGATGGCCAGGTTATTTCTGACTGGAAAATGTTCCAAGTAAACCGTACATAATGCATATAAAAACAATATAAAACAACATACAGAAACTGCCCGAGAAAAGTAAGTCCTTTACAGGCGGAGATTTACCTTCTAAGACTGGGATCTTAGCTTCAGAACGCATTTGAAGTCATGCTCATTGAATTTTCTCATAGAATATCTTATCTCGTAAAGGAGGTATCATAAGCTGCCATCAAAACTCCGAGGCAGAACCCCCGCGAGATCTATCTTTTTATGCTCGCTCAAAACGCCGTAGAGGAAATCGAACAAGTTTAACATCGTTTCGAATAGCCTCTAGTTTAGACTATCCCTGGGCCCACCGATGTGGCGCGGGAACCTTCTCGCAAACCCACTTCGTCGACTGCCCTGACTGGTTATGGATGCACGCAGGTCTTCATCACTGTAAAGCATGCTGCTAGAATCAAATGCATCCCCACCACCGCTCCAGCGATTGAGGAAACGGCGCTGGGCTTCAGTCTCGGGCTCGCGACGCAGAGTCGGAGGTGGAGGCAAACCACCACGGCTGTTTGGCGTGCTGGTGCGAAAGTTCTCGGCAAATCTGGTTTGAATGATGCTGGGTTCATTTTCATCTTCCTCGTCATTTAGCTCTTCTTCGCTGTCTGTGTGCTGCCATTCCCCTTCTTGCTCCGAGCTTTGCTCTGCGGCATCAGGAATATCATCGTCGAGGTCGCGCGTCATGTCTTCACTCACACTCTCACCATCGGCGGCAGGTATCTCCGCATCCAGATCAGGCTGGTTGTCGAAATCATCCTCTTCGTCATCGTCATCATACAGGCCTGAGCCCTCGTAGTCATCATCAGGGAACCCTTCGGGAATGTCATCATCCAAGTCGCGCTCCATGTATTCTCCTTCATCGCCAATGTCATCTTCCTCGAGTCCCTCTTCGCCTTCCTCGATAAGACCTGAGGCCTCCTCCTCCGCGTTGGGGATATCGTCATCCAAATCTCGTTCCATGGCTTCGTCCTCTTCGACTTCCCCTGTTTGCATCCCCGTATCGTCATCCATAATTCCTTCTCCCTCCGCGGCTTCCATCTCAGCCGCAGCAGCTTGTAGCGCCTCTTCGCGCTCCGCTTCTTCCTCTTTCATACCGAGCATTGTCTTCGCACATCCTGCTGGCCTGATCCATGAATATCCGAACGACGCGATGTTCAATTTTCGAGAGCGTAGCGAACGTTCTTCTGCAGCTAATGTGGCGATTGTGTTGGCAGAAGAGCGGGATGGCATTAATGAGCGATGACTGCTGGGTGTGCCGCTGGCATTGCGTCGGGCGAGGTGATTGGCTGCGGAATTGTCGCCAGCTTGTTGATCCGACGTAGAGCGATATGGTTGGGAAGATCCGAACCAAAGTTCATGGGACTATCGCAATTGTTAATTTTCTCCGGGGCTGTTTGAGAAGCTTGAATAGCTAGAGCCTGGCACTTACGTCGCGCGGGGTGATGGATGAAAGGGTGAGCATCTCCTCAAGGGCTGTTGTTTAAATTCTGGAATTGGGAATACTATGGTGCCTCCAAGGTTATCCCGATGTTTTCTGTTTATGGAGTTTTGGGGGGATGGCCTGTTATGCGGCGTTTTGTAGCTGTGCTCCAAAATAGTATGGCGTGGCGAGTGGAGTGGTCACTGGTTCTAGGACTTCGCAACGCGGGTAAGCTTTAATTCTCTTGGGAATAAAAGGTCATAGAGAAGCAATTGGCGATGTTGATATAGGGATACGATATCATCAGAGTCAGGAAACCGCGCGCGAGGGCAGAAAAGGCCGGAGCTCCACAGCCAATCAATTCATCTGTGCGGGGAATCCCCCGGCCCTATGTTGTACTTTGTACTTTGTATACATACAACATAGCTAACTATGTAGTCAGTTATATCTACTCCGTACTACATATGCCTCAATATACTACATTCAGGCCTAAGCATTATATATATAGGAACACTCTCGAAAGCCAAGGCTAATCATATTCCACATAGTATCATCTATTAGTGTCTAATAACATTTAGAACTTTAAACAACACAAGAATAGTCGGCCGCTTATGTGGCTTTATTATGTCTTTTGTTCTTTTTAGGGGTATATGGAGGTAGTAAAAAAGCATACTTTGTGCAAGAGACGTTTCTATGTATAGCTTTTTAATCTATATAGATTGACGTATCTAGGTTCTATTTTTGTAGGGTTTGTCATGGATACGGATATATAATCCACACCCTCTACATATATTATAGAGCATTACTTTTCAGTTTCTGTTGGCTTGGCCTCAGGGACCTGCACAGCATGGGGAGAGGTGCTTCCACCTACTCCGTACAGAGTACCTCAGAAGGCAAAACCCAGTCAATGATGAGTTTACCATTTTATTAATCTAGGCCCTTAGCTACAGGTACTGCATATGTACTCCGTACCATGATGCATAAATCAAGGACCAGCCAAATGACTACATATGTAGGTAAGACCCACCTGAGTCAAAATCCAAGACCTCCCAGGCCTAGATACAGGGGGAAGTGAGCTGGTGCTTCACTGGTACGATGTTCTCAAGTTGTATATTGTAAGAAGTGGGATGTTGGGGGAATCCCAAATGGAAACATTCGTTAAAGTGGTGAGATGTTCGAGTTGTTCTTATAGTTGATAACTAACTACTAGTTAACTAACTAGTTGATGTGTTCGATGTCAATGTTGGTCTCCGAAATCACCCGGTACTAGCAACCCGGTGAACCTAAAGTGGACAAGAGGACACTCGGGAAAATTCGGGTGGATACTATTGGACCTAGCTTTCCCTGAAATCATGACGTTCGATGGATGTGTCTTCCCACGTCTTCTCATGTCTTCTTACTTTCATCGGCACTTTGATTGGCCTAGAAAAGGCGGGGATCATGTGATACCCACTCTGATCTGGTTCCGGAGTTAAATCTGCTGTAAAATACGGTAATTATACATTGCTACATTGCTACCTAGGTACATCGCGACATACATGTGTACTCCGTATGTGAACTATGAACAAAAAAAGAAATCAAATGCAGAGAAGAGTACGGAGTACCAATCCTATTTCACCCGATCAATATTGATGTACTACGTATATTGTAATGGGATAACACTATATGTAGACAGCTAGGCTAGACAGCTAGGCCAAAAAGGAGAAAGATTCTTAGAAGTTATGTATTCTTATTATTATCGTCTACCTTATCTTTATATCTTCACATGTCTAGACGGATCACTTTCCTCCGGACTCCATTCGTCTCCAAATTATACAATGGGGTAAAGCATATGGAGTGGTTGAGAATGTAAAACATGGGGAAGCAGGGATTCCGATTAATTCGTGGAGCTGAATCCCTATAGTCCAGGGGTAGAGGCAAAGAGGCAATGGCAATAAACAGCCCTGTAGGTAATTTGAATTGAACCGCGATAAGCAGTCAGACTTCAAACGGACTGTCCGCAAACGGCTCCCCGAAATCGGGCTATGCATCTACAAGCGAAGGTGATAGAGAGGGGAAACCCGGGAGAGGGGGACTTGGCCGTTGTCGGAATGTCCACGTAGTACCGTTACTTGTTACTTGTTACAGGTATTTGCATTACCATCCATTGGATGTCTGTCTTTTTAATATGCCCAATGAATATCCACTCAAATGTCCATGATAGATTACTATCTTTTTCTTTTCTTTTCTGTGTCTTTCCTGGGATGAACTTGAATATAAGTTATCCTTCAAATCGGTACTTTTGCTATTTTTTTTTAGTACTTTTTCATGTTCCCCCCTTCCTGCAGATGCAGACTAAATGCAAACTGGCGGCTCGAAACCAAATGGATTAAGCACTACATCTTGGCCCCACTGGGGAGTGCGCCCATCCACCCGGGTCTCCCACTCTCCATGTGAGAATTGCCTTATTTCTAATACGGGAATGTGTACGGAGTATACTCCGTACTCCGTACTGTGTACTTCGTATGTATACGTCCAATGAGCAGCTCTGATCTTTTTTTTATGGGTCTATGGACCTTATGGGCCTATGGGGCCGCCCGGCCCACTGGACCTTGTTTTCTTTGAGCGTTGGAGGGAATGGAGAAAGAAGTGAGGTACGGGGTAGAAATAAAAAAAAATCAGATCTAAGAAATAGGTAGATTTAGCTATATAGTATAGTAATATATTAATAATATATATACGGAGTATATGCATATAAGATATTTAGAATACTAAAGTTAGTTGACGTAGTAAAGAGCTAACCCTGGGTCGTAACATCTTCCCTCTGATTGGTTGAGTGATGCTTATCTTGGGATGATTTGCACTCCGTAATCATAATGATTATCATTACTTTGGAATGCTCTTTGGAGCTGTTTTCGTCTATTGTATGTTAGATGTCAAACTTATGCCCTGTTCAACTGAGTAGAGAGCCTCGAAGTGGCATGTTATAACATGTAGCATAGCATGTAGCATGTTTTATTGTTTTATTGTTTTACCATTTTACCCATTTTACTCATATTTCTTTCACTTAAACATTCCCTTACCGTTTCTCTTGGCTGCTTTCACCTAACAATTTGCCACGGTAAACTCCCCACCATCGTAATTTTTCTCTTTTTGGGTACAAC